AATAAATTTGATTAATGAAAGGGGAGGAATATAATATAAAGCCTAGGTAGACAGGTTTATTCTATATAATATGACTTTTTTATTATCATTATATATACTATAACCATTATATTATTATTATATTATAAAGGTTTAAAAAGTTTTTTGATAACATAGAACCATACACTGTTATCCAATTGAATAAACAGATAAATATTACCGTCCTAACCAGTTAATACGGTATATTCTAAAGAAATCTCAAAGCTGAGCGAGGTAGCATCACTTCTGACCTTAGATGTCAAGGGTGCATTTGATGCAGTCCTCCAAGGACGTTTGATCAGAACGTTGAAGGAGCAAGGATGGTGAGAACCTCTGGTTAGATTGATCTCTAGCTTCGCGACAAACAGAGAGGCATGTATCTCACTAGATGGGGAGAAATGTGACTTATCCCCGCTCCAGTGCGGACTACACCGAGGATCCCCCATCTCCCTCATTTTATTTATGCTCAATATTGCAGCGCTCCTCAAAATGCAAGGACATACCAACGTCAGCAAGCTTGGTTACGCCGATGCTGCATTATACTCTCGCGAGAATGGAGAACCACCCTGCAATGGGGGGACTGCAACAACGGAATCACGTTTATTTAGAGACAAGTCCGAGCCAATGCACTTCTCTAAGAAGAGGGACCAGGACAACATGAACCTCAGTCACAAAGCCAGATGCCACAGAGCACACTGTCCAGCCACAATCCAAGGACCAGTGCTTACGCTGGCTGGATTTCTTCTTGGATAGCAAACTTACATTCAGACTACACGTTGCAGAATGGGCGGCAAAAGCGACATCTGTCGCGAACGGAGTTAGATCTTTAGGAAACACAGTCCGAGGGCCGGGCAAAACTTATGGTGCAGGCGATGAGGGCGTGCGCGCTCACTATCCTGTATTATAGGGCGGAAGCCTGGTGGCCATCAATGAAGAGACAGAAGGGCGACAAAGAGATCTCAAACATGATAATTGAGTAGCCCCCCACTCATCCCATCCCATCCCATCCCAATATCATCACTCATCCCTCCACTCATCCCCCCATCCCATCCCATTCTATCATCATCATTCACATACACCTCCAACCCAACCCAACATATATAATCAAGCAAGATCAAACTACCCATACTATACTATATATAAACAAACATACCACCCATACACCCACCACCTATACACCTACACAAATTACTCATTTTATTAGGCTCAGGGACTAATCAGTAATAAGGAAACAGTAAAGTAATGATAGATTTAATAGCAATGCGGTATTCTTTTGGTTCTTTAATTCTTTAGTCTATTGTACTCGTATATATAGACAAATATGTGCTACTCATAATGAGTAATTGTAGCAGAGCACTGTGAAAGAGTGTTCAATACAATATAATATGTACACGTAAAAGGGGGGGGGGGGGGTGGGGAGAGGGGGGTGTGGCAAAAAATTCAAATCACACGGTGAAAATGAAAGACAGAGTTAACTTGAAGTTGTGTGAAATTATCCCAGTGACTGTTCAGGTAAGCAAATCATCAAACTGTGTTTATCGAATTAATCGATTATCTTAATAGATTCTCAAAGTGTCACTAATATCCTTCCCAATGCCAATCATCTCCTCGTATATTTGTACCTTATTATTTCTTACGATCACTGTAAAGAAGAAATCAGTATGGGATGGCCTCGGGTGTCCAGCCGAGATGGAGATATGACTTACGTGCTAAGCCTTCGGGAAAGCAGTTGTAGCCCCTTATCATTATCAGCCTCCCTCTTTGCTCTCTCTAATGCCTGCTCTCGTCCTTCTTCGGTTTGTCTCGTGACCTCTTCGTGACTAGGTGGGAGACGTTCGTTTTGCAAATCAACCTTTCGTGCATCCTCAAAACTACTAATGGCGTTCTTGATACCTTCTGCTCCAAGCATCAAGGTTCCAGCTGGAAGTCTACCACCGGATGCAGTCTTCAGCTCGGTAACTCTCTCGGATTCTTCTCGCAAAACCTGGAAGACTCGTGAAAGACGGCCGATTGCAAGAATCTTATTTTTAATTGCTCTTCTCTTGTATTCGATAGATTCCGGATCTATTGGAGTAGTGACTGGCGGTGATATAGGACCTGGCGAACTGCTCGATGGAGTCTGATCATCCTTGAGCTCATCCTCCGAGGAAGTGCTCAGAATTGCGAGTAACATATCGGTAATCTTCTCTCCAACGAAAGGTAAAGACCAAGTAAAAACGTCCATGAAATTTGGTAACCAGTAAGGGTGAGGAGTACAATTGAACTGTCTGATGTTCATAACGTTGTTCTCATACTTCAATACAGCGGCCTTGTTATTGTAAACATCGAGGTAATTAGGTGCCGAGAAGATGGTCATAACACTAGGGAATCCTGTTGTTCGAGTCTTTCTATACATCCGGTAACCAGCATCCTGTGCCTCATGTGCCCGGATAATTGAAAGAAGGTTATTTTTCTCCAGGAAATTGCATGCCGCAGGATATGAGAAGAAATAAGAACAACCTCGAACATGATTGTGAATGAAGTACTCCGAGGTCTTTTCTTGTCCAAAATCCTCCAGTGGATCTGCCCATAAGATATCGCACATAAGACCATGAGTGGGAGGTTCACGGAATCGATCAATCTGCCAAACAAAGTCAATAATATTCTGAAAGAGGGTATGATGGAAGTACACACGGTTTTAAGATCATCCAAAGTGTGTAGCTCAGGACTCAAACCTCCATGAATACACAAGAATTGTTTGTTCATAACTGCAGCCAAAGGCAATGCACAGAAAGAATCCATGCATGCTTCATATATTCTTTCGGAATACTTGTGCTTACATTCAAGCTTGAATGTAAAATAATCGGTCAAATGTCTGCATTCATGGTTTCCTCGAAGTAGCCACAAGGTGTTTGGGTACCAGATTTTCAAAGACCATAGGTATAGCACACACTCAATACTGAAGTAACCTCTGTCGACATAGTCTCCCAAAAAAACGATATCTGGTATCAGCTGGATCTCCACCAACCTCAAAAAGCTTCATTAAGTCATAATACTGTCCATGAACATCACCACACACAGTGATTGGCGCATCCATTTCTAGAAGGTTGGGCTCCTGCTTCAAGACCTTTGTACCCTCCTCTAGAATGAACAGAGCTTGTTCCTCGGTTAAACGACCTTCTCTATAGAAATGTTGCTTCAAGAATTGTAAATTTGGCTTGGATGGATCTTGTGGTGAGAAGAACTGTTGATCTGTCGGTGGAACCATGGCGGGTGCTTGCACATCTGCAAATGTATATAATCAGCATCACTTTACAGAGAGCCGCACATCTCAAGTCTTAGATCGAAGCATACCTTTGCATACTCTTTCCATCGTGCTCACTTGACTTCCATCTTCCATAGTATGCAGAGTAAAGTCTATCTCTGGCACAGGTTTCTTCTGGTGAATTGCTCGCAAAGCATTATCAACCTGCATTCTGGTCTCGACGCCCGCTGGCGCAAGTGGGGTCAGCGGGGTTTTGGGCTGGTCCTCGCCGTCCATGTTGGCGAACAGTGTAAAAAGGGACGAAGAAATATGGTATTCGTATGCGACTTTAGTGTCACAGAAGGATTTAGTCGTAACTGAGTTTCGCAATCAGAATGGGGGAGAAATTGATGGCGAAAGAGAGGCTGAGAAAAAGGGGAGTTTATGCAACACAGGCGAATCAGTCCCCTTTAATGTAAGCACAAAAATGTTTCGTAAATTACTTATTATCAGCTCCTGAGCAGATTAAGTAAATAGATAGATCCAAATAAAAGACTCCAAAGAAGATCTATTGAAGTTCAAAAAATAAGGAAGAGAATAATAAATTCACAGTTCGTTAATGCTGTTGTCAATAAGGCTGACAATCAGACACGGTAAGGTGTTAGGAGGGAAGGTTAAAAAGCTTGGAGGTGAAGTTGAAAAGGTGGCAAATCCCAGTCAGGATAATATAAAACCTCCTAATAAAATTTGATATGATTATTGTTATATTATTGGTTTATTTACTTAGATCAATATATAACAGATATTTTAGTATAGAGTATTAAAAGTCTTAGTCAACTTATATTACAAGTATTAATTATAATTCAATAATAAATTTGGAATGATTATCACTAATATATATATTTTAAAACACGCCTTTATTTGATTAGCTATTCAAAAAATACATAAGGTCTGTGCGGGAACATCAAACTCAAGAAAAGAGGTTTTATCAATATACTTAAATATTATCACAAATAGGATATTATTGAATTAGTATATTCTGTTCTTCTGATTATAAGCTTTTTAACAATAAAATTTCTGTATTTATATGATTAATATTCGTTGAATAAGCAATTATTGAAGTATTCTGAAAAGTTATAAGTTGAAAAGTACTAGAATTTCGATAAACATGATTCTGATTGGATCTCTTCATTACTAATCAGGATTAAAAAAGCCCAATGCACAGGCCACCTTCTCAAAACTCTGAATAGCTTCAATATTTCAACTTCAATATTAGAGAATGCATCAGTCACCCGAGCCTAAAGCGAGGATAGGGGCAGATTGCAATCGCGTTATCTATATCATATTGATTATACTGAGTATTCAGATTCATATTCAGATTCAGAATTCAGAGTTCGAAATTCAGAGCTTGAATCTACCCCACATTTTAGTCCAAAATGTAATGCACAGACCACCTTTTTCAAAATTCAAAGAAAATGATTTGAATAACTTCAAAATTCATATTTATATTGAAGATATATTAAAAATAGAGTTTAATAAACAGTATAATTCTATAGCTACACAGTACGAGTGAAGGTGGAGGTCTTTTTAGGGCTCATAGGCCCTGAAGGGGCCGGAGCCAAGCTCGTTATTATATATTGAGTATTGGGATATTATTGGTTTTTGGTTAATTTACTTAGGTAAGCATATACCAGCTATTTTAGTGTGGGGTATTTCCATCATCCACCCATCCATCCAAATACCATATCTTTTCATCGAATACCACATCTTATCAATTGAGTAGATTACGGCAATTACATACAATAAGACTGTATGACTATCAATTGCTCGAGTACTTGGTAACCCTAATCATTTAATTCATCTATTTCTTCCAAGAATCGAAAAGCTATCTGTCCATCCATCTTGGTAGAATAATTACTGGTCATAGCTCAGCTTCTCTCTTTCCAACGCTCCATTTAATCATGAATAATAACCGTTGAGTGTTCCCTTCCCCCTTCCATTCCCTTGCCCCTTCACTCCCCCCCTTGTTCAACCTCACCGATAAAGCAATTTGAACACTAACAATGACAACGCTCAGGTACCCATCCTCTGTTAGCGCAGGTTCCACTTACAGTCTCACCGTTCGTGTCTCTTCCTACTGCGACTACTCTTCCATACACATATAAGACGTTACTTTCAACATTACCCCCATCATCTACGGGAACTTCAGCATCGTCCAGCGACGGAAAACCTAAATATGTCGTATCATCATCGGGCCATGCCGCACATCCAGATGAGATAATTGCGTCTTGCAAAGCATTGCAAACTTATATCCAAAAGGTCCAAGACGATGCCGACAGGGAGTTAAAATCATGGGAAAATGCGATGGCTGCAAGAGATTTGGCAGAGAAGCGCAGAGTAGCTCCTGGGTGGTTGGACAGCGATGCGCGAATATTGGAACCAGAGAAGAAGACGATTGAAGGAGGTGGAAACCTTATGGATGTTGATGTATCAAGCAATGATGCTACAAGCCTGGCACAAACACCCGTTGCCATGCCGAATCAAGAAGGTGCTGAACTTGATAGAGCGTTTGGTGGATTGGCTTTAAACAAATCATGATGGATATACGATATTCGAATGATATTTATTCATTTACCAAAGTTCTACACTTTTCAAATTTCTTCTCTGCTCCAATTCGTGACGTAATTGAAGTAAGAGTAAGTTGTTTACATTATAATAAGCTTCAGCTCCAACTGTGAAATTGATTTGCGAGCCTTACTTTTAAGGCTCAAATCGCGAGCCAAGTTTAACCTTACAACCCCAGAAATCTTCATTCTCTCTTTCGTTGCTTCGACCATAATGCCTCCACGAATACCTAGGGCGAGAACTGGATGGGCAAAATCTCTTCGAACGCCAACTAATCTTGAGAAACCACATATATGCCCGATATGCTCGGTATCTCAATATTCGCAGAGGTCTCGAAGCCAACCTCGAAAACGCAAACTCTTACCCAGTCCTGGATTACAAGTTCGGCAGTCATCCTCTGCTGCCATACAAGCTATACATAATGGATATCCCGAGACAAAATATAAAATAGACCACAATGCCCTTCGCAAAGCCCTAATTGAGGTACAAAAATACGCCACGAACTATGTGAACATTTCCAGGTTACAACTTGCATTACGAGGTCTAGAACAACCCGAGGGCCAAGAAACAATAAGAGTTGCAATATTAGGACTGGCAGATGGAGGAATTTCTCTTCAAAAAGCAAAGGAGCTCCTGAGACTCATTTTAGCAGATCCGTTAAAATCGGAGGAGGAATGGGAACGGGGTATGCTGCGCGGAGATGGCATGGGTCGGCCATTATTAATTAGGGTGGGACATAATGAGGATGAAGGGTCGGAAAGAAGCGGCAGGTTGGTACATGAAATGAACATCTCATCTCCAACATTTAATGGGCATAAGATGGAGATTTTGGTTCTGGAAATGGACCCTCCAACAAACGATGCTTCCGGACTTTTCGAGGAAACTGTTTTGGTTCCGACAATGGAGATACCAACCTCCAGTACAGGCCGATATACGCCCGTTACAACGCCCGTACATAAATCATTTCTTCTTGGGCATGGAATTATTGGAGCAGTTTCTCTCCTTTCATGTCCCTTGGGTGCATATCAGGAAACTATTGGAAGTGCCGTAGACCTTCGAACTTCGGAATCAAAGTCTCTCCCTATACCATCTATTGACATCGCATCTGGTAATGAAGCTCTACATACCTTTCGTGAGAGCATTGAAAACGCAATGACCTATGAGCAACAGTGGCTGTCAAGTGGTATTCCTGAGGTCGTCGATTGGATGAAGTCAGGTGCATCGTCTACTCAAGATATCATAAAAGAACCACTTCTTAGACTAATCTTATCAATCATACAAAACGCAGATAAACGTTTGGAAACAGAACGAGCCAAACAATTATCCATTCTTTTGTCCTCTAGAATATCTTCAGCCCAGATGGAATCGCTACGTCATGAGCTCTCTACTTGGTCTGAACGTGCACATACGGAGCTTCGAGATCAACTAGACATTGCTTTTGGGGGTCACAGGTGGCGCAAGTTGGGATGGTGGAAATTGTTTTGGCGTGTTGATGATGTTTCCATGTTCACAACTGATATGTTGAGCCGAAACTTTTTGACTGAAGCCGAGAAAGAAATCATATTTCTAGCCGGACGAACGGAGGAAGCTGGAGTTTATCGTAATATACCTCTTCATTCTGACTCTATACAGAACTCCGATTGGGCTTACACACCTGTCCAAGAGGCCCTTCCAGAAGGACTACCCCCTCCTCCAAAACTTCGAGATGTTGTTCCAATTGCAGCAGATGAAGATATCATACCAACAAGGATACAACCTCAACCTTGGCCTCTGCATATTCCAATTGCTAGGGCATTCTTATCCACAACTACTATTCCTGCTCTTCAAGCCTTGGCGCAGAAGCTTGTTCTGCAAACTCTAAGCACTTCATCCTTAACTTCAGCTCTTGCTGGTCTCATGTATGTGAGTAATATGTCCACCACGGTATACGAAGCAGGAGCCGTAGCCGCATTTGGTATAGTATGGAGCATGAGGCGGATGCAGAACAAATGGGAGACTGCAAGAGCATACTGGGAAGGAGAAGTCAGAGAGGAGGGTAGACTGGCCGTGAGAAACGTCGAAACAATTCTGGGTGAACAACTCAACAAGGCAGAGAAGGGCAAAGATCTAGACCCGGCTATTGAACAAGATCTTGAGAAAGCAAGGGAAGTCATTAGGTCTGCGGAAGATATCATACGTTGAGAGGTAACGCATAATTAGCATCGATGTATCATTATTGTACTATGAAACAATACTCAACTAGTTGTAGACCGATAAATAATTATGTAACATCACCAGAAGCCCAGGGTTTTTATGATATCTAGCTCCAGAAGCTATGAGTGCTGAACAGCACATTCAAATATTTTCAGACCCTCATCCTCACTCTCTCTTAATTTTGGTAATGCATTCGAATAGTGATACTATTAGCAATCCCCCTCTATCTTCTCGTCGCTCTAACATACCTAGGTAGCTTGCAATGGTGGTTTGGTCCAATCACGTGTCAAGCATAACCAGGATTTTAGCGCAAAAACCTTAGGCAACTTTGCTTTTCTAGCGTGTACTTCTTCCAGCCTAAGGATTCCAGAAGCGATCATTAAACTCTTGAATCCTCAACTTTGCGACATCAATTTTACATCATTTTGTAACTATTCTAACATCATCCCCCAATTTATCTCCTGTAGCAGGCCAGCCCATTTCTTTTGTCGAAAGCCCTTTCTGATGCATAATAGATCTAGCACAATATGTCCACTCCAGATTCCGGTACCATAGATACCCAAACGCCAAACTTGACCGGCGCCGACGTCGAAAGGGAAAGGTCCTCAAGTAACGAGAACTCACCAAGCAACGATAACATAGAAGTGGGGGATGCGAAGGTCGATGAGGAGTCTACAGAATCGAATAAGCCAGAAAATAATGCGGGTTCTCACGATTCATCGACGGCGGTGGAAGGTGAAGGCGTTTCTTCTGATGGTGAAGCGAATTTGTTTGAGAACCAAAATGGAGAGAGCGATTCGTTGGAAAAGAGCGATGTCGTAGACGCTCCACCTTTACCAGAAGAAGCTCTTCCATCCCTTCCTAATGAACAACCCCCAGCTGCTACAAAAGAAGATGATGGTTGGGCGAATTCGATTGAGAACCAAAATGGAGAGAGCAACTCATTAGAGAAGAGCGATGCCGTAGACGCTCCACCTCTGCCAGAAGAAGCTCTCCCACCCCTTCCTAATGAACAACCCCCAGCTGCTACAAAAGAAGATGATGGTTGGGCACCAGTTTGGGACGAGACAAATCAAGCTTTCTACTTTTACAATCGCTTTACCGGAGCTACGCAATGGGACAATCCACGCATTCCCGAGGTGTCTCAAACTGGTCCACCCGGTGTACCACCCGCAAAGTCTGCTGTTGCGCCTACAGAAAGCATTCCAACTTCTCGTCCAGCTGGTGGCTACGATCCTGCCATCCATGGAGATTATGATCCAACTGCCTGGTATGCCCAGCCAGCAACAGTCGAAGCGCCAACTGCTGCCGGGTTGGATCCCGCCACTGCCTATGCGTCTACCGGGCAATTCAACCGATTCACAGGACGTTGGCAGGCTGCAGAAATCAATCCAGAGAACTTCAACGATGAGAATAAGAGCAAAAGACAAATGAACGCTTTCTTCGATGTCGATGCCGCGGCAAATGATCATGATGGTCGAAGTTTGAAGGAGGAACGCAGTGGTAAGAAATTATCAAAGGCGGAACTGAAGCAATTCAAGGAGAAGAGGAAACATAGAAAGGAAGAGAAACGAAGGGCATGGTTGAGGGACTAAATATACCACGGACAATTTTTTGCATGAACTGGCGTTGCTTAAGGGTCAAATCAGGACTAAATACGGAGTTCTTGGATGGATTTGGGATGGAAGGGTGAAATTTCAGGAGGGCACAAATTCAAAATCGTTAATTTTCAATGTTCCTTTATTTTTTCTCCTTATTTAGCCATCAACCGTAGCGACTACCGAACGAGGGAGTCTTTCTGCTACGATCAAATCTACAAGTTTTCCGATCATATATTGCCCGATAATTTTATGCATTAAGGTCGAACTTTTGCCCAGATTCAATTGCTAAATGTCGTTACATAACGCCTCTCGACGTTGAAGCCCCCCACTAGTGAAGTTGCGAAGTCATGTTACTTGTTTGTACAATTCACTTTGCATAGCCATGAATTTTGCCATCTTTCAACAAGCAACATACCAAGACAGCCAATATGGGTTTTGCGTCCTACTTTCATATCGCTCAATTCCAATCGATTCTCTTTTTCCCGCTATTGTTCAGGTGTCTAGCCGATTTTGAGCTACGCGTGATGAAATACTCTCGTTTCGTTATTAGCTTCAATTAGCCTATACTCGATACTCGATATGATGTACCACTCCAAACCCCCCACGAAGATTTATCTCGAAGGCGGGAAAAAAGGTACCAAATGTAAGACCTTAGATCCGGTACCGGTATTCATCCCATATGCGTTGGAAGGATTCGTTGGCAAATTTCATGCGAGTTTTGAACTGTTCCCATGAGATAAGCGTTTAGATACTCGTAGACTCTGCGGATCTCATAGCACTTGCAAGGGATCATCTTTCGGCAATTCTGTTGCATCGTGAGTTTTTCCAATGGATGGATGCCATTGCCATTGAAGTTATAGTTTGGCACTCGGCTTAATTTACGAGTAGCTCACTCCCTTTTTACTATTAAATGCGAAAATCAGCCGGTAATATGGTAGGTAATAGCACGGCTGATGATAAGGCAATGTATCGCTACAATCATCGCTTACTGTATGCATAACCAACAATAAACGAGCTAGATACAGGCCAAATAAGAAGTTGTCTTACAGCATATGCGGGGTGGGGTGTAAAGTCGAAGAAATAACCCGGAGCGGTGTATTAATCATTCACAGATAGCTCATTGTCTCGCAGAAGTGAGAGATGTATACTCGAGTAATGCCGATCATAGTTGAGAATTGGCTAGATTCCTCTTGAAGTCGCCGTACCGTTTCAGGAAATGCGCAGGAATCGTGTTGTCCATCCCCGTGCTACATGTTTTCCCTCCAGCGAATCCACTTATCGATATCGTCGAAGATTTCGAAATGATTGGACGACACAATCGTCTGATAACATTGCAGGACCGTGGGATGTCGTCTGCTATATATGTCCGGAGGAGCCCTATATTCTCCATAAACTAAAGATTGCACCATTCCTCGCCAAACTTCGCCATCGCTTCACGGGTACCGGTACTTGTCTCGTTAAGCATACAAATTGCTGCCAATTAGATTAGATGGCTCTGACGTCGATGAATGACGAACGTACACCTCTTCTATCGGGTGCGAAATGTTCGGCTGTCACAACATATGGTGGACCTCTTTCTATTCGCGGCGATGAAGAATTCGCACCATGCAAGATACCCCTCGTTGATCCATCACCTTCATCTAGAAATTCGCGTAATATAGCAGGTGTCATTTCAATTCTTCTTTTAGGTATATTTTACTCATCACTCCTATACCAGTATTGTTGATACTCTCCCCGCGAAGTTGTTCTCAAAGTTGCACTTCTCGCTTCTCAAATCTAACTCGCTAATTATACACACTCACACTCTCCAGGCGTCTTCATCGCAAACGCCGATGGATCATTAGTTCTCGCGACGAGTGGAACCATCAGTAGCGAGTTCAACGATCTGGGAAATGCAGAATGGTTGATTTCGTCGTATACGTTGGCTATGTGCGCCACGCAATCTTTGGTTTGTTATTTAAATGCGGTTTTTGAGAATCAGGAATCTTTTTGCTGATTAGTAATCAGTATGGAAAACTTAGTGATATTTATGGGAGGAAAAGTACGATTTTGGCTTCTTATGTGTTTTTTGCGGTGGGTTCTGTGATTTGGTATGTTTCTTTTGCTTGTGATGGGTTTCTTGGAATTCTTCACACTTTTGGGGAGAGATCATGAATAGTTTGGAATATTTTGCGGGTAATGATTGCTAGCGCAAAAACAGATGACAAATTGCCGCACTACACAAGTCAGCATAGGAATCCTGGCTTCCCATTCAAAAAATAGCCTACTATTCTGTTTGGGATTAGCTAATATATATTATATCCTAGTGGACTTGGATGGAATCTCCCTACTGTAGTAGTAGGTCGACTAGTAGCAGGTGTCGGCGGTGCCGGTATTAATTGTCTAGTATCAATCGTCATCGCAGGTATGCTATTTAGATCTTTATCTAGACCAAAGCTAATCTCGTGTCCGCAAGATATGGTTCCAATTAGAGAGGTGGCCAAATGGAGAAGTTATGTCAATATTGCAGCTACGACTGGAAGATCTCTAGGTGGACCTATAGGAGGTTTCTTGACCGATACTATTGGATGGCGATGGTAAAACTCCAGAGTAGTTTGTCATAGATACTGTTCTGACATGTCCATTCTTCAGGTCATTCTTGGGCCAATGTCCGCCGACCATCCTAGCTCTAATACTCGTAATGTGGAAACTCGAAATTTCTCCACAGCAGGTCAGCGACAAACAGACGCACTTTTCAAAATTATGCCGTATCGATTTTCTAGGCTCGATCTTCCTCTCCGTCTCAATAGTTTGTGGCCTCGTAGTGCTAGATCTCGGTGGTCATCGAATGCCCTGGACCGATCTAAAGTTCTTATCGCTATTAGGCGTTTCAATTGCAGCCGGCATTTTATTCTTTCTCGTCGAAGGATTCTGGGCCAAAGAACCTATTTTCCCGCTGAGATTGTTGAGAAATAGAGATGTACTTACATCGTATATTAATTTGGGGTTTCAGTCGGGCGCTCAGATATCGGTATGTGACTCCTTCATGTTCGATAAGTATCGGTAACTAATCATACTGCTAGATGATGATGCTAGTGCCAATCTACTTCCAAATCACTGATCATGCATCTTTCACTACAGCCGGTGCACATCTAATGCCTTCTGTTCTTGGAAATGCGCTAGGAGGACTTCTTGCTGGATATATCATTTATAAGTAAGATTACAATCCCTATCATTCCTCATTGACGCTTACCCCTTAAACTGACCATTCGCTAACCCAAAAACCCCAGAACAGGCACCTACAAACCCATACTCCTCCTCGGCGCCCTCTCCTCCACAACATCATACATACTGCTTCTCACTCGCTGGCACGGTCATACCTCCTTTCTCGAATCTCTATATATTATCCCCGGAGGCTTCGGTAATGGCATTGCCCTCTCAGCGACCTTTATAGGATTAACAGCAGGTGTCGAACAGGAGGAATTGGCAATAGCTAGTAGTGGGCTCTTTCTAAGTGCAAATATAGGGACGGTAGTGGGTCTTACTGTGGCGGGTAGTGTAATGGAGGGGGGCTTGGAAAAGGGGTTGAGGGTGGCGTTGGAGGGGTGGGAAGGGAGGGAGAGGGTAGGTGGACTTCTTTCTTTGGTTTCATCTTGTCTAGAAATATTCAAGGATTGCTATGCTATGCAGATGTTTCAATTACTAACTCAGCTCCACACATCACAGATCATCGAACGAGCACTCTCGGATATTGAATACGTGCGTGCTTTAGATGGAAAGTTGGGAGAACTGGTAACAAATGTGTATGTGAATTGTTTGTCTAATACTCACGGTATGTATCATTTCTTGAGAAGCTTCTATGCATACAGCATTTGGTAGAGTATCACTGACGGGATTCTTAGCGGTTTCTGTTTTTGCGGCGCTCGTGGCTCTGATTGCTGCTTGTTGTGTTAGACAACATCGTCTTTGAAATGGGGATTTATGTATGTGGGTTGTGTCTATGTACAACTAGCTGTTATTATTGCTTTATTGTAATGGGGCTCAGCTTTGCGCAAAGCGCCTAACCCTGCTGCACATACTACTGCACATACGTCTAGTGTGATGTGGCGATTCACGAACTACCGGTACTCAGCAAGTTATCAGAGTCATGTTTCATGACTGTATCGACAAGATTTGGGTAGAACATGAAAATTTGGAAAATGCGGAGGGCTGAGAGGAAAGGAGGGGTATTGTTGGTGTGAATCGGGGAGTGGGTGGGGATGGGGGTGGTGGTGGTAGTGGTAGTTAGATGGCATAGCACCTGATATGTACATAATCAGGGATGCGAAGGTAACTCACAAACAACCTTCAGACTAATCACACAACGCCCAGACGTGCAAAACTGTCGTCAGAAATCTTGGCTGACCAGACTTTGCGGCTCCGTGTTATTGTCTTATCTACTATCTCCCCTATTTGCCATATCTCCTTACTTCAACACCTCTGATCCTCGAGAGGGAGTAGGCAGTTTTACTTAATTCTTTTTTTTTAAATTGAATGGGGGAAGATTCGGAGCTTTTCTCTTTTCAGCAATTGCCTTAATTTCAGGGCTGAATGCCGAATCTTGTACGAAATCACCAATTAGAAGCAAGGACTAATTGAAAGCGTCTACTTTCCCTTGGGGGATGGAGGTGTTGAATGTAGAGTTGTGTACTTTTAGCATTATAGCTTTATAATTAAAGGAATTCTTTTAGCTTTAATTATAATCATTCTCTGCTTTATATTGCGGGGTAGAATAGTAGATAGAATAGTGATTTGTTTATATAGTTGACCTAGTCCTCGCCTCCTAGAATAATCTTATATTCCATTTTCCGGCTTCGATATTCGATAATACACCTCCACCTTTTTTTAAGCTCTCATATTGGTTCAATTATTCGTCATAGGAAATTTAATCTGCTTTACAATCGTTAAGTTGTTATACGTATATACTTTATCTTGATCATTCTCTGCTTTATATAAAGGGCTTATCCCTAGTTCAAGGATAGGTGGGTGGGGCGAGTGGGGGCTAGTAGACTTGAGATTACCGTCTAAACTCAACTACTTGGGATATGCTTAGTCCTAATATGGATTAAGTTTTTCAGCTAATAAACTATAACCAAATGAGCCAATGAATGCTTATGCTGATGTATAATTCACTTCTGGAACAGCCAATGAAATCCTATACTAATGCACGATTAAGGTTTACTATGCGAAACCTTATTCCCTAGTAATAGGACTAAGCATATCCCAAGTAGCCGAGTTTAGACGGTAGATCAATAATCTTGAGGCTCAATTACCACTCACTGCTCCCCAAATATCTCTTAGATACTCGTGTGCTTTCGGACGACACTTAGGCTTAGCCCTCTCGCTTATCCATCAACCACTTTTTAGTTTCCTTATTTTATCTGACTTTGTAAGTGGAAGATACGAATAACAAGTCTAGATCAACATGTATACATCGTCACAGAATTTAGGCCTCGCGACGAGTATCACCTTCGGCGTGCTAGCAGCATTCTCCGTGGGTCTACGTTTTTTGTCTAGGAGAATCAACAACTTGAAAGCTCCTATCTTGACAGATGACTGGTTGATAGTTATCTCATTGGTGAGTTTTCTCTTTGCTTCGGCTATCCTGCTGGATGCCTTATTTTACACGCGCATAGGTAACAGTAGCCAAATAACAGATCTCTGCTTTGGGGAATAACACCGTGGTCGTCCGGGGTGCCGGTGTCAATGCTCTAGGCGTCCCAATTGCTGGAATGAGTACAAAAATGTGGGTGGTTTATGGAAAGGTAATCCTACCTGATTTATGGTATTCCGATGTATACGCTTCTGACATCCATTCTTCAAGATTCTCTTCATCCAACCGACTATCATGATGTTCGACCTTACTACAATCAAGCTTTCTGTTCTGTTTTTCTACAAATGGTTCTTCACCACACCAAGTTTCTCCCTTGTCACCAACAGTCTGATCGCAATTGTTATGATGTGGAAAATTTGATCTTTTTTTGTATGTCTTTCTTTTGCATTATACCTCCATTTAAAAATGGGCAAAGGGCTGACAATCACCCCATAGGCGCAGGTCTTTGAACAGTGGTCGGTGTCTAATAATTGGACACCAAAATAAGGTGGAAAGAGCTTCATACTAAACTATGAAGACTTCGACTTGGCTTACGCTTCTTTGAATCTCGCCCTTGATATTATTATTCTGACCATGCCAGTATTCATGATTAAGCACTTGAATTTTACTCCCAACACGAAAATTGCCTTAATAAGTATATTCCCCTTAGACGCACTGTAAATCACCACTACTACTTCTTGCAATTACTAGCTTGTATGCCTCTCTAACATATATTAGATTGGTAATAGCCAAAGCCGTCCGTCTTTGGATTTTGTGGCGCGTTTTGTATGGTCCTAACATAAGTGTTATCCTTGAGCGCTGTGAGTATTATCTTAAACATTTGACAACAGGTCCTTTCAAAGGATCTCGGCTCTCTGCAGTGGTGGAGCTTTGCAGAGATTCTGATTTATCAGAATTCTAACCACTAGTGAATATCTTTAGCTCTCGCTAGCGACGTTGTTGATTGGGGAATAGGAGTAATTGAAGTATGCGTTTCGATCATCGTCACCGCATCACTTCCCGTGCTTGGCTCACTTCTCTTCGATCAAAAAGGCCCCGAGTCCATCGTACGCAGCGTCCCTTCTGTCTTCTCATTACGCAGCATTAGCAGAGAAAGTACTTCCCATAGTGCGCGATCCAAGGGACTGGTGCTAGATGAGACTGATAGAGATCTGTTGACACTTGAAGGTCGTAGCGAAACTACAATTTCCAGGAATCTTTCGAACACAGCACAAGATGAGGGAATCTATGTGAAAAAGACATTCCAATATTAGCAAAATCAGGGAAATCACGTGTGAAGAAACAGGTCTTGGGGGTTAGGGAGACTGGGTGGAATAGAGTAGGTCGAAATCCAACAAATTGAGCGTCGCTTGCTCAAATACCTCGATGATAATTTCTCATCGTGGGCTTGTATGTATTCTGATTGAAGTTAGATAAATTGAAAAACATACCTTGATGCTATTAGCTCACTACTCAGTTACATTCCTATGATATTGGATCTATACAGCGCTGTGACTTATAGCTATGTATGTCACAGTACTAAGATCTACTTGTATCTATATTAGGACGATATAATGTACATGCCAGGGCTAAATCCTACAATTACCTTTAAGGCCTGATCGATAGCAACGCGAACTGCGCGTTAGGCTTCAACCCTTCGGGGGATCTTTGAAACCTTGTAACACGCCTGATATCTGGCGTGCAGTCAGTAATTATATGCAATTATGTTTCAAGGGCTGTGATAGGTCCAGCGGTCAAAGCGGTAAAATCTTATTCGATTGTGCATATTATGCATGAACAAGGTCGCTATAATTAATTACTTCCTGCATATATCCAAAATCTATACCCTCTGCAGAGTTCCACAATGCTTGATTGGTGGGAGATCAGACTGTTGTGCCAATTTAGTCATGGATACAAGTTCTTTTATATCAAATGGTTCCAAACCCGTCGGTACTTGTAATGTAAATTTACACCCTGTTAGAATCATTCCGAATGTGCTCGGTGATACTAGGTAAGCAATTCACCAAAAGACTGGGCCGTACTCCCTTTTCTTGCAAGCTACTTTACGCCATTCCCATTCCACCCCCCCCCGACAACACTTGTTTGCAACGTCATAAATTCAGATCTTCATTTAGAAAATGGGTAACTCTGTTTCTATTGAGAATAGTGGTCTCTCTGCACGCTCTCGCCCCAAAGTAGCAGCATTCATCCCGGTGCTCAAAAATGTCGACAAAAACTTTGTTATTGGGTCCGAAATCGATGTAGATATGGCTATTGGCGAAAACTGGCTTACTCGTGAGCCATTGATTGCCATTTTTAAGAAGGCTCTTGAAGATATCACTGAGAAGGTAAGCCGGTGTTGGTATTTTCTAGAGACTCATTTACCTAATGGACTATGCCTATAGCCATCAGGCCCCAAAGCTATGGTGTTACCTCAAAATCATTGTAGAGTTGATGTAAAGGATTTAAAGCAATCACTAATAGTATAAGGATCTTAACTATCCCCTCGGTATAGGTGGACCTCTTCCAGTACTATCTGCCTTTTCCTCTTTTTTCAACCAATTCTTTTCCCCATCCATTCCTATCGAGCCAGATCATATAGTCACATTCTCCGGGGCAAGCGCCTGCTTGGACGGCCTGCTATATACCATCTGTGATGAAAGGTGATACTATTATCTTGCCGTCACCATTCTGGGGTAGGATTTTCCTTTTCACGCCCCCCCTTACTTTAAAAGTTCATACCAAGCTACAATTTCGCGCGCGGACTGAGCTGACCAGAACCAGCCGGCTATGTACCTTTTACTAAGTTTCGCGCCGATGTCAACATCGCCACCACAACAGATATACCATGGCGTTCTGCTACATCCATCAACATTGTCGCCGCAGTCAAAGCAGCATATTTTAACGCCCAAGACTCGAAGCGTGTCAAGGCATTGCTTATGGCCAATCCGCACAATCCGACGGGACACTGTTATCCCTCATCTGTGATCCGTGAGCTGATGATCTTTTGCGAAGGAAAAGGCTTGCATTACATATCGGATGAGATATTTGCCATGTCTTCCTTCAGGACAGAAGAAGAGCGCAAGTTTACTTCTGCACTCTCTCTTGTTGATAATGATAAGGAAAGTCCTATGGATCCGAGTCGTGTGCATGTGATCTACAGCATGAGCAAAGACTGGGGATCACCAGGTCTAAGAATGGTAAGTGGTCGCAAAGCACCTTTTCGGTTGTGCTTCTTGCCATCTTGGCTTCCTTGATATCTCCGTCCATCTTGATACAGACATTCTTTTACTAACAAAGTATCAGGCGTGCCTAGTTTCTCCGCGTAATCGTCCTGTTCTTGGAGGCAGTTGGATTTAGGCTTTCATTATATTCATATTCATACTGAGTAATGTTTTAAAGCTTAAGTTGAAAGTTGAAGCTAAGAATATTTGCTTGGCTACTTGACCAAAGAATACCACAGAGTAACGAGAATAGCAGTAAAGAGTCAAGGTCATGTGACAATAACGTATAAAGATTTCAGGACCCCTCTCCTTTGGGTCCCGTTACAGAAGTCTAGTATGAGAAGCTCATGTTAATGAAAATATAAACCTGCTAAGCGTGACCATAATTAGCGAGAGCACGACATATACCAGCGTTTGAAAGATCCGTCTTGAAAAGTCTTGAAAGTTCTCTTTCGCTTTTTAGGAAAGAGGTGGAAGATATTTCAATGAAGTTATAGCGAGAGCACCTAGTTTGTTGTTGGACGGATTTGGTAAGAGCTTCAAGGAGCACGCGACTGGTAGCTCCAAGAACTCGCATGCCGCCGCTAAATGCACAACATGAACAACAATGTGTCTTGAACTATATACCCAGCTGCTGTTCTCATTCGTCCCTTTGTGTCGGATAGTAAGTCATCTAGAAACAGCAAACTTAATGGATCAACCTCCCAACTCACTGATAAGCTGAGACATACTCTCCCAGATGCGAAAGCTTGATTGTCCTAGTTTATTCTCCGTCTAAATCTCAAGGTAAAGACTATTCAAATAGTCCGAGCCACTCTGTAATTTTCTCCATCGTCTTCGAAAGTTTGGTGTAGAGCCTACTCCGTTTAGGCGATTCTGATTGTGTATCCAAGTCGCGTACTTAACCAAGCATGGCAGGGTTGGCCAAGACGTCAATATTTTCAAGTATATTTATTAGCTGTCTTACTTACCTTACCGCAAGATATTAAGAGCAGTCAAGTCGTTGAACTCTTTTATGGGGTCTAATCGCGCTTCCTGTAACTCTTAAAGTACCGAAACTGCTCCAGGTTTGAGAGCATAGTAATGTTCGGAATAAACGCTATACGATGAGATGTGTTAGTTATCAAAGCATTATGCAAGGTAGTGTTCTCGATAGATACTTTGCTGGCAGCAACTTGTGTAGCTTTGAGGTCTTTGAGTCGTGCGAAGATACTACCGTGATACCGTGACAATCGTGTCGTGACACCTAGTCAAACGCATATGGTTATCAGCATCATCGAGGACTAGATGACAATTGGAACAACCAATGCTAAAAGAATTGATATAAGCTCTTCTGAGACCCGATGGGTCTATAAGTGGGACACGAAGTAAGCCGAGCCCGTTTATTAACGGAGAAGTTCGTTTAGCTAAATCGCTACAAACTTTCTTAGCTTGAATCTTAAATACTCAGCATCTTCTAATGTCTGCTTCCTCCAATCCTACATCAGAGGGAACAGAATCAATATTGTTTCGATCAGCTCAGCCAAGTCACTACAGCCTTCAAGGTAGCCAAAGTTAGAATTTGAGGCGTCTCTGATATAACCATTAGATTAAGCATATTTAGTTAACAACCACAAAGGGGACCCACATATATGAATCTCCTTTGCGCATCTACTGTGTCTTAAAAAAGGTTTTAGAATTCCCAATTGCATTAGCTTCTACAGCATTACCTGATCTTGTACCAATACCATGAAATTCAACAAACAATATCCAATCGACTTAGTGCCCATCCTTTAGTAGATCCATCCAATCAAAGCTTCCTGTGCTTTTCTCAACTTGGCTGAGATATACCATTTGGGCTATGCCCGTCATGTTTACTACTGGGTGATTGAACAGGGCTCTAATACATCATCATTCTTCAAGACATCAGAGAAGCGTTTCAAAAGTCATGGTTTAATCTTCATCTCTCGTATACATACATACCCGTTCCTCTGTACAGTAGTCAACTATAAAAGACTGATCTTGCAGGGACAACACATTGAAACTAGAGAAGAAGCATCATGTCAGGAAATACTGTTATATTAAATTAGAAGGAAGTACCGACAATACTTTGACTATATCAACAAGTTTCCTAAAAGTTCAACCAACTCAAGATATACATATTCAGATCACCTTACCATATCTGAGTCTTTACTGAGCATATTATGGTTTGAGATATCTACACTACAGCCATCAAAGAGTCTGATCATGCCAAGTCAATACTTAGACTTAGACGTAAACATTTACCTATCAAAATATCAAACCAGCCCAGCCTGCCTGATAAAACTTGATAATAAACAGCCAATAACATCATAGAATACCATACTAAAAACTCTCCTTTAGATCTTTCCAATACTCGTACATCACCCCGTAATCATCGAAAAAGTTCCCACGAACGTAGATCAAATCAGATCAGAAGTTCTAGATCCAAAACCTTATATTCGAGTAGTATCCACGGAGATACCTACATCTACTCGTATACTCAAACACAAGTAAATCAGCATCAACATTATCTAACAATCACACCCCAACAGTCCTCACATGTCCAAAGACTCGATATCGATAAGTGACCAAGAGTACTAGTTACTGGGGACGGATCCATGATTCATCTGCGCTTCTTCGACGAAATGAAAAGAAAAGGTATGATGCGTCAAATAGCTACTGCAATATGATCTTGAAGAAAATATCTCGTTTCAAGTTGTTTGTAGCAGAGCAGACTGAAAGCCTTCACAGTAACTTTAGACATCGCGATAGGATTTCAAGATAATGAGAATACGTTAGGTACACTCACTATCTGGGGAATAAGGAAATGCTTTGTGTTAAACTTTCGAATAATTGGGACTACTACCGAACGCGTTTGCCTTAATTAAGCTTTGAGCGTGGAAATTGGGAATTAATTTTTCGCCCTTCTATATTCCAACATATACCAGAAAAGATCGGTAGAAATTGCATCTTGAGGAAACTTAAAGGAAAATTCAATTATTGTGATGGCTTCCAGACTATTACTTTTCTTCGTATCACATGTACTGTATGAGTATCGCCATCGTGTTTTGAAGAGGATGATGGATAGATGTATGGACCGTTTGTACTCGAGTATGAAACTACAGAATGGCAGAATCCAATATTTGAAAGAATGAATTGATATGAATATAGAGCTAATAAGACGCTGAGAGCTATAAGAAAAGTCCATCCAGGTGAACCTGCGAAAGAAATACCAATGAAGTCTATATCTGAGAGGATGTATTATGCATGCAAACGTGACCTGTAATCCACCATTCCTCTACCACCGCCTATATTCGTAAACAGATTCGGACCATGACCTAACTCGTGGGAAGCTGACTCCTCTAGAGCTTGGTGATTTCACTCTTATTCTTGGTCGTCTATTCTCCCAAATATCTTGAGCCGGTATTTCAGGAATGAAAGGAGGCAATAAGCACGATTGATACCGTTCCGGGTCTCGCCGCGGCGGATATTGCCTCGCGCGATCGCTTCGTTGCTCTGCTTGTGCAGGATAAGGTAGGATGTGTATTTCATCAGATGAAAGTGCAGAAGCCTTTCCTTCTTTTACTTGTGCCGGCTCTCGAGTTCTTGCCCCTTCAACCGTAACACCCTCCTGCTTTCCATCTTTGCCCAGTTGCAATTGTATTTCCAAATGTGCCTTCTCATACTCCTTTTCCATCATTCTTCTCTTGTGCGTGTGGTGGTGCCATTCATGTCGTACTTCAAGTCCGGCAAGAATTAATGGGGCGCTCCAGAGAAGAAGCTTGCCTAACTTCTTCACTGGATTCTCGAGGTTCTCAACTGTTTTGTAGATGCGTTTCCCGAAATTCACGCTGTCCACCGCATCAGATACTTCTCCATCGCCCCTCCGGAGTTTGTCTTCCCTCTCTCGTGTATGGTTTCGATGTGATCGTGGATGTCGTGACTGTTTATGCGACCTTTTTCGATTGGCAGATGATTGTGAAGACTGGGAAGAGCTAGAGGATGTTTCTCTCGATAAAGTCGATTTTCTGCGATAATGAGGCATTGGGCAAAACCTCGGGCACAAACTCGCACACTTTTATTTCGATCTCCAACTATATAGAAGAATGGCGAGATGATATCAAAGGGGACAATTGCAATCTATGTGAGTAATGCTGAGATAGTATCTTTTTCAGTAGCAATAAAATTTGGTAGAGTAGAGCAATCTCTTTCCACTCATGGGCATGATTAAGCCAATATATATCATATTATTATGTTCCGTGTTGACATCTGCGACACTTGAGGCAGTGATGCCAAAGTCAGGTGCAATTCATTACCAGCTGACCTACTTTGTGACTCTTTCCTTCACTTTGATAGAGAATCGTTTCGAGATGATGTATTTTTTGGATAATATGACTCTTATTCATCATGATGAAGGATCAAATGATTTGAAGGGAAGAAAAGAGATATGTTGACCATTTCATGAGATGCAGAAAGTTGATCATGATGAATGAGCGAGGTCTGAGAGGGTCTGAGATGCGTTTGTCAACTCGTGCTGATTTTGGCGGGGTTGTTTGATTACATAAGCGAGAGATTCTCATTCGGATCTCTCAAAATTCCAAATACCGTTTTGAATCAACCCATCCAAGTATATCTCATCGCGCGGATCAGTTATTGTTTTGATGACTTACCATTCAACAACAGAGCCAACATCAAATTCTCAAACTCAAGGCTCGATGTTTCAACGGATTCACCACGAACGGCACTATACACGCGTTTACTCGAGTATCTTCAGCATTCGTCCCAAGAATCACTGCAGCCTGGTCATATTCCTGGCTTGATTAATAGTTGTGAAATATAGGACCATCGATACTCTAGAGACTGCCTTCATATCAACGCTGCTAAAGGCATGCTTCTATGAGCTACATACCTAATAATTGGATAGTCCCGATTATAAGTATTTTCGAGGCACACTCATCCATCCATATGCATTTTCTCATCATGGCAATCGAGATGATACCACGATTGACGATAATACACTACAATATGCGCCATCCAAGATCAAAATCTGACTAAGCCACCAACTATTTATACAAGACATAGAAGTACACACCATATCTTACATTGGCGCCCTGTCAACTTCTCCACAAAACCATTGACTTTTGCTTGCAACCATACTACTCACTGCCCCCAAGCTCGAATTTCCTATGATATCAAATACGGAGATATTGGAACCAAACTCCTTTTTAAACCAACCCCTTAGACTGACCGCCAGTAGCGAATCGACTCCATAAACATGGATAGGTTTCGCCGCGTCAAAACTATCCTCTGGAATACCCAAAGCGCTCGATAGTTTTTGTAATAATCCTGCTTCAACGATTTCGACTGCCTCCGGTAAACTTTTAGCCTTGGATAGGAGCTCTGGATAATCCAATTTTCCATTTGCACTAGCCCGGCCAGATGACATATTATTTAACGTTTCGCCAAGCGTGAGAGCTCTCCACAAGGACCTCTGCAAAATTGGAGGAAAATCTTTACCCTTTGCTTTCGCATAGGCGGGAGTGGCAATGCCTACAAGGGTTTGGCAATTCAGCTCGTTGATCTCTCGAGCGGGGTTGCAGTAGTAGTCCAGTAGTCCGCACAAGCTGTCCTGTGATATCGGAATGAGGAACCCAGCAGAGTCTAGTCCTTTTTCGACATCTTTATTCTCGGCCACCGTTCCCGCAGATTCGATCCAGCCGAGATCTAACGACACCGCCTTTTCGCCCGCTACCAGTCGCGTGTGGGCAAGTGCATCCATAAAAGTATTTCCTGCCGCATAGTTGGCTTGCCCGCCGGTACCTACGACTCCAGTTATTGAAGAGAGTAGGATGAAGAAATCCATTCCTTTAGGTAACAATGAATGAAGATTCCAGGAGCCCTGAACTCGCGGCTGTATAGTAGTGCACCATTGATCATAACTCATTTGCTCAAAAGCGGAGTCCTGAGATCTGTCAGCCAATAAAAGGTTTGAATACGACAAGCAACCTACCTGCAGGACCATCGATCCTTGAAAGCATCCTTTTATTGGTGGAAGTAACTTGTCGTACGTGGTCAGTACCTCCGAAAGTTGTTCGAATGAATTAACATCGCATTGTGGGCACTCGACGCGAATACCTTGGCTCTGTAAATCTCTAACGAGTTCTAGAGCTGGCGCCTTTCGAGCACCGGAACGGGAGAGCAAGAGCAAGTTTCTGGCTCCTCTACTAGCCATCCAACGAGCAAGACTTCTTGCAAGTCCTCCAAATCCGCCAGCTATCATATAGGTTGAATTTGAATCAAATTGGTAATCTGGAGCTTTTCTAATTAGAGACTAAGATGTGATTAGTGGAGTCGGGTTAAACATCTCAGGTTCCCAAAACTTACTTCAACAACATCATTTTCGGAGATGGTAATCACAGTTTGGCCAATATGCTTCTCGCTATTTAAGTCTCGAAATGCATCCGTGATCTTTGAAATCGGACGAGTCTCAAAGGGAAATGCTGGTCGCACAATATCCCCTCTAATCAGGAAAGAGATTGCTTCCAGTGTTCGACGAATCTGCTCCGGACGAGCTCTTGCCATCATAGCCATATCTTGCATATGAACCGAAATCTTTCTGTCGGCAGCTATTTTTGAAATCTGAAGGTCCATTTGGTGCATCTGGATGAAATGCCCGAACGGTGTGGTGCATTCTGCCGAGGCAATCTGTCCACTGTCAGGCAGAGAGTTCAGTACCACGTCAACTCCAGATCCAGTCATCTTCAGGATATGCTCGGCAAAGCTGATGTCTCGAGAGTCAAATATACAACGTTCAGGTACATTGTAAACTTCCAATAGCAGCTGCTTCTTATCAATGGTATCGACGGTGGCAAACGCAATAGCTCCCATGTACAGAGCTATTCGCAAAGCTGCCTGTCCAATTGCATCGGCTGCAGTGTGGATCAAGATTGTTTGATTTCTGCGTAATCCAGCCACTTCAATCAGTGCGTTGTATGCAATCGAGAAAGGAAGAGATATTCCAGCAGCATCTGCAAAAGATAGGCCCATTGGGAGTCTCCTAAACAATCTGCTGTCGCCCCTCAAGAATGTACTGATACTTCCCGGACAAATTCCATACACTTCTTCGCCAATTCGAAGGTCCGCTTCTTCTCCAGAATTCGTCACAATACCTGCATAACCTGCCATAAAGCTACCGGAACCGGCCTTCTTCGCTGTGTGGCAGTGATATGGGTCCAATCCAATTGCTTTGATCTGGATATCTACCTCTTTACATCCAATTTGTGTCTCCTCGTCGTCTTCAATGAAGACTGAGGATTGCAATACAGTGCTCGTGTCAAGTCTAAGCGGCGGGGACTTTCTTATAACTTGTGATACTGTGTGCTGCTGTTCCGAGGCTTTTTGGATGTGGGTATCCAAATAGTCAGCTGCTATGGCTCTGTTGATGACTATTTGATCGGCTGTTTCTCGATACTCCAAGTCCAATTCACTAAGCTCCGTTGAAATAATCTTTCCAAATACTCGGAGAATGCTCCTTGCGACGGTGACGGGACTGGTGATGTTTTCAAGTGCCAGGGTGACAAATTTTTGGTCGCTATATTCAGTTCTGAGAACACGAGCAAGGCCGTCAATCATGTTGAGTTTCACATCCCGATCAGTTCTGCAATATTTCCTCACCCATAACATGCCATTGCAAGTCGTGAGTAAGGAGCGGACTCTATAGAAGGTTTCTTCATCGAGTAATCCAAGCAACGAAGACCCGATTTCGGCCAGGCAGATGCAAAATTTGCTGGTAAGATCATGATGTGACAAATCGGAGAGTTGGAAAACTCCTTTCATTGGAAATCCACAAGAGTCAAGCTTATTCGCCAACTCTTTGGCAATAGCTGTATCAGCCTGCCCGTCTTCGACAATGATAAAAGTCTCCGGCAACATTGGTATAATAGAATTGTCAATGGCCGTTGATACGATAACACTACACACCTGACTTCGAGGATCGTCACAGTCATCGACGACTAAATCTGTCCCAGAAAATCCGTTTCGGCGTAGTATATTGTTCCATTCACCACTGGATATGCAAGGTCCTGAAACGCGGTATTCATCTGTGCTAAGCCACCATCCTGGTAGTGTACCGAAGACAAACTGAGGGGCCCATGAATTTCCGGTAATCTCGATCAAAACAAGTTTACCATTTTTCTTGAGCAACTTCCGGACGTTACGAACCGTCGTGTCCAATTTCTCGGTAGCGTGAAGTACATTGGCAGCGACGATAAGATCATATCTTCCGACCTCACAACCTTGATCTTCTGGGTCGACCGAGGCATCTAAAAGCAAGAATCTGAATTGTGGTTCCTCATTTTCGAACTTCTGCCTGGCAGCTTCGAAGAACGAAGGGGAAATATCTGTAAAATCGTAATCCGAAATTGCACTCGTGGTGTGATTGTCTGCCCCGCGGATCACGGCAGATCTCAGAATATGATCAGTGGTAGATCCTGTGCCAGCACCGATTTCGAGAACTTTCAGCCCAGGTCGTTTGTAAGCTATCAATTCGACGACACGAGCTAGCGTGGTCCCAACTCTAATGTTGACTTCCTGATAGTATTTTGATGCGAGGTCGGTCTGAAAGAGGATTTCTAAAGGGTCCACGTTTCCGTTTAGAATATTGACAATGTTCCTGCCAACTTCCACGAACATTTTCCCTTCAGCATTGGCATGCTCCACGCTGGTCATGATTAATTCGATTGCTTCGAGCTCAGCGGGACCAGTGGGGCTTTGTAAATCATATTGCTGGTCTGCTGGAAGCCCCAAACTCGTGGTGTATGCATTCATCCATTGGATGTATCTCTGATAATATGGTCGAGAGCTATCCAATCCTGCGAAATTGACCTTTTCTTGGATTTCAAGGCTAAAATAGGTCAGCAATAGAGACATATCTTCATAGAACTGAGAGAGATCTTTCATTAGAACACCCTGTCGACAATATTCTCTAGCTGTGGCTTGGTCCAATAAATCGATATCAGGCTTCCAGTCAATGTTGTAGCAGAGCTTCTGCTTTTTGATAACCTCGTTGGTATTGCTGTTTGAATCCACGAACGTGGTTTCTAGACCCGTGATAGACACTATAGCATCTTCAGTATCACGATCGACAGCATATGCTGTAGAAGTATTGCCTCGGGATGAAGTCTTATCAACTTTACCATACACACGAATGTTATCAGTTGTTGGATAGCTGACACCATTGCCTGAGATCCATATTGACCCCACACGAGTAGGAACAGCAGTGGGCAGCTTCTCTTTAGTCCCTCCGGCGAGAGAAATTAGTATGGTTTGAAACATGCCATCCAGTGTAATAGGATGGATGATGTGGTCCTGATGATGGTTCGAATCTTCGGCAATGATCCATCGAAAGGCGCCAATATCAGCACAAGCTTCGAAATTTGGTCCTACAGAGACTTTTTTCAAGGACTGGAATGTTGGACCAAATTTTAGCCCCATATCCTCGAACCTATGGTACATTTGGTTTGGCTCTATGATTTGATTGCACCGTGAGACGCCTTCTCGAACTGTGTCTTTGATAACACTGGCTCTGGACCTCGAAATCGGAGTTAGGCTTTGCTCTAAAGTCTCATATTGAACTTGGATTTTTCCAGAACAATTTTCCTCCCATTGTCCGCTTTGTAGTGTGGACAACTTGAACTCCGCAAACAAAGAAGTCTTGTCAAATTTGTCGTCCAATGGAACGATGTAGAAAACTGACTCGACTCCGTGGTCATCAGGCGTAAGACGCAAAGGGGCTAGAAACGAGGTATCCTTAATCAAGTAGCCTTTGACTCTTTTTTGGGGACTTGCAATCTGTTTAGCAGCTTCAATTGCCATTGCAAGCATACCGGCAGCTGGATAGATTGTCGTTTCATTTACCACGTGATCCTGAACCCATGGCGTCTCCGACATCCTGGTTATCTTTCGCCATTTCATGCCTTGAGCATACGGATCCACAATATGCGTTCCCAAGATATCTAGACGTTTTTGTTTGCGAAGTCTATAGTTTTGCCCCAAATCGCTTTCATGCCAATGAAGAGTGGAATGATCAAAGGGGTATGAGGGCAGGTCGACCAAAACTTTCAACTGACTATCTTCGTCAGCCATATTAACCTTCATGATGTCGACGGGGTATCCGAGACAGCTCAAACATCCGATGGCATTCAGTAAAGTGTAAACACCGTTTGATTGGCGCTTTAGTACCGAGTTGTAGCCTACTTCCTTTCCATTGGTGACGGTGGCAAGTGTATCCTTGATCGGACCTTGGAGAGCGCAATGCGGACCTATCTCGAGGAGATCGAAAATCTGATGCTTTGTCTGTTGTCCGATTTGAATACCATTTCTGGATTCTTTAGAATACGAAACTGCCTTACACAAGGCATCTGAAAACCTGATAGGAGACACCATATTTCGGACCCAGTACGATGCTTTCCTAAGCTCATCATGTTGCACTTCACATCCCGTAACAGAAGATATCATGGTCGCCTGCACTTCATCCGTGGGGCACTTCTTGGCCTCAAGGCTAACCAGCTTCGATGAGTACATTTCCGAGATTGCATTCATATGGGTAGAGTGATAAGCTACCGGTACTCTGAGTTTGCGATTGAACACTCCTTCGGCGTCTAGGTTTTGCTTGAGTTTGTCTATACCCGCCTCATCCCCAGATATTGTGACACTCTTAGGACTATTAATGCAAGCTACGACAACCTGTAGCCAGGGACTATCTCTTCGCAATAACTCTATGTAAGCCATCGCTTGGGTTTCTGATAACCCTGCGGCAAGCATGGATCCTTTTGTGCAACTGTCGTGTACAAGGCGATCCGCTAGCTTGCCTCGAAAATATGCCACTTTGCAAGCTGATAACATGGAAAGTGCCCCTGATGCATAAGCAGCAGCAATTTCTCCGGAAGAATGGCCAATAACAGTTGCTGGGCGTATTCCGAAACTTTGAAGGAGGTCCACTATGGCTATTTGGATTGCTGTACATAGAGTCTGGCTTAATTCTGGATTGTCGATGTTCGAACTCTTCTCGTCTTTCAGCAGCTCCTCTAAAAGAGACCACTTGCATCCAATGTTACTAAGATGGCTTTCGAACATTTTGAGTGAGTTACGGAAGACAGTATATGCCATTAACTCATAACCCAGCTTTGCATACTGTGCACCTTGACCGGTGAACACGAACCCGAGGCCTCGCTCTTTTCTAGAGCGCACAGGTTTTGATATCGTGTCCTTGAGATTTCGAAGAGTCAGAACTGAGCTAGCGATTGAAAAAGATTTCCAATTCAATGAACTTCTTCGAGCTGCCAATGTGTATGCAAGATCAGACATGTAAGACGAGTTCTTAGATGTTCTGTCTTTGATATCGGAGAAGTGCTCTGCGAAGTCATTCGACATTCTTTCCATTCCCTTTTCATCCGAAGTAGACCAGACGAGCAATTTGAGAACTTCAGTGGTGATTTTCGGCTGGATAATGATTTGGCTGCTTCCAGACTCCCATTTCACCGAACCTTCAGGACTTGATTCTAGAATTGATGCGATATCATCCCATTGACCAAGGTATGGAGACAACATTCCCGGCGAAGCGAGCGAGATTTCACTGTCGATCCGTAGGCGAAGACTTGCCGATTGATGATTCCCAGAAATACCGCGCATATTCATAAAGTTATACGCATCGTCGAGAATAACGTGAGCATTAGAACCACCAAATCCAAAGGAATTGACAGAGGCTCTTCGCAAACCATCGATTGGCCAAGGTATGCACTCTTGTGGGAACTAATTCCATGATTAGACAGATTTTTAAGAAGAAAACGTGACTTGACTTACTGCCAGATTCAACTTTTTGGCGTCAATTTTGGGGTTGAGCTTATCGAAATTGGCATTAGGAGGTATCACTCCCTTTTCCAAAGCCAAGACGGTTTTGATCAGGCCAGCAATTCCACTGGCTCCTTCTAAGTGACCAATATTCGATTTTACGGCACCACTGAGAATAATAAGCTTTCAGACGATGAACGTGAAATGATTAGAAATGAAGCTTACACATATATAGGACGATCAGATGGCCTGTCTTCTCCTAAGACTCTTCCAATTGCTGAAGCCTCAATAGGATCTCCCACGGCCGTCCCCGTTCCATGGGCTTCGAAGAAAGCCGTGCTGCGAAAGTCCAAACCAGCCGACTCATAAGTATCCCTGATCAATGCTTTTTGTGCATCCTGACACGGCGTTGTGAGGCTTGAAGTTCGGCCATCCTGGTTAGTCCCAGTCGCACGAATAACGGCTCGAATAGTATCACCATGCGCTATGGCGTCGTTCAATCGTTTGACTACAACAACGCCACATCCCTCACCTCTCCCATAGCCATTTGCTCGGGAATCAAAGCTGTAGCTCTTGCTATCAGGAGACACAAGATTCAAATTTGACAAAAGCAGTAGTTGCTCTACCGAAGAAATGATGTTCGATCCACCAACTATGGCCATCGAAGATTCTCTACTCCGCAGACTTTGGCATGCAAGATGCAAAGCTACTAAACTGCTGGAGCAAGCTGTGTCAATATGCATACTCGGGCCTTTCAAATTGTATGCCCAGCTTATCCGATTTGCGAGAATCGAGAATGTGTTTCCGGACGCTGCGTGCTTGGATAATCTTTCTGGGTCTTTCAAAGACATAATTCGAAAATCGTCGCAAAACGATGCACTGAATACTGCTGTCTTTGATCCATTGATGGTTTTAAGAGGTATTCCAGCTGAAGAAATGATTATTAGCCCCGTAAGTCTGGAGCATGAATGGTTTCTGAATAAGTCACTAGCTATTGAAGAGTACACATACCATTTTCGAGGGCGCCATATGAGACTTCAAGCATTAATCGTTGTTGTGGGTCCATGGAAGCAGCTTCTGCTGGTGATATTGAGAAGAATGGTGCATCAAAAGCAGCTAGGTCTTGCTTTAGAAAGTGTGCTCCCCGGTGAGTTATCTTGTGAATTGTTAGCAGTAACTGTGTTTCTTCATAGAAGATAGCTCACTGTATCGACTCTCTCCTTATCCGGATGATAGAATGCATCTATGTTCATCCTATCCTTCGGTATCTCTGTCATTACGTTTCTTTTCTGTGCCATCATTGTCCAAAATCCCTCCGACGAAGTAGCATCTTCGGGGAATCTGAAAGACAGACCAACTATGGCCAATGGCTCTATCAAGTCAGACTCAGGTTGGAATGAGAAATCATTGGAGAGAAAAGGCGGTTTAGGAATAGTATTGAACTCATTGAAACTTTCATCAGGCATTCGAAAAGCCTCTTGAAAGTTCGACATGTTGAAATTTGTCTTCAGGGTATCTTAGTAATACAATTGAAATTTACAAACGGGATATATAGAAATGAGGATATCATGTGCAATGGCGAAATGTATGAAATATAGAGGTTATAATCGACTTTTATCTATAAACATCTCAGGGGAAACGAGAGAGCAGCGGCGATCATTAACCTTACGGATATCCGGTAATGCGACCTAATTGAAAATCATCGCCCAGACTGCGTGGGGTCCAAGGTAGGGAGAGGCATGGAAACAAATGCTACTTACACTGTAAGCATAGGTAGCTTAACTTCCCTCTTGAGTAATTGAGTGATGAAAACATTTTTTACTAACTCTTGACAACTACTCGAGTATAACTTTGATATTAGATAATATTTCCTAGAAGGGTAATCAGATAATCATCCAAGTCAACCTTATCTCATACACATGCATATGCCACAGCTGAGGGCGCCACAAATTGAGGCACAGCGATCTAACTTAGATCAAAACAGATTAGCTACAGATCGTTACACAGCTAAGTACAAAAACGGCAGATTTGTGACTTGTTTGTTAACGAGGGCTGAAGTTACAGAAGGTTGCACTGCATATGCATATGTACTGCTGCTACCCCACATATCATATATTCACTCCCACGCCATATAGGTACATACACGATATGGAAGGTTGTACAGAATCGGCACTACGGCACTGCCTAACTCCACCATCTCTTAAACACGAGGTCCAGCATTCATTACCTTCATCTTTCTGACGTACCGCATCTTACCTATCTAAGTTCACCTCAACCTAGAAACTTTCAAAGGATCTATCTACAATCTTGTCATCTAAGTTTATCTTCCAACCCTTACCTACCAATCATGAATCCCACCGTTGTAATTGCTCCTGGCGCATGGCCCTTGGTAGAGTTCTTTCAGCCTCTCATGCAGGCCTTTGAGTCCCGTCACTACCCAGCCATTTGCAAGATTCCCTCTTCCTATACAAAAGAAACTGAAACGGCGCAGCCCATGAACCCCGACTGCAAGTATCTACGTGAAGAAGTTCTCACGCCACTCGTAGATGAGGGAAAAGATGTTGTGCTCCTCATGCACTCCTATGGTGGTGTTTACGGTGGCTCGGCAGTCGAAGGTCTGAGTAAGACGGAACGGACTGCCAGTGGTAAAGCCGGTGGCATTATCGCCCTCGTCTTCTGCGCCGCTTTTACGGCCCCGAAGGGAATGACGGCCATGCAGGTTATGGGGATTGATCCTGAGAATTTGCCGGATTGGATTCATCATGATGTTTGTCCTTCTCACATCTTACATCTTCCCCTTGTACTATCCATGACCTCACAGTACCACTCATCCACCACTTACTCTTTCCTTTCGATAACACCCAAGAATCTCGTATATACCCATACTAACACAGCCATTCCGAAAACAGAAAGAAACCGGCCTAGTCAACCTAACCAAGGCCCGAGAAATGCTATTCCACGACCTCCCAGACGACGAAGCCAATAGATTAGCCAACGCTCTCCCAAAACAGCCCTACGCTTCCTTCGCAGCACCCATGTTGTACGATCCCTACAATGATCCTTCATACAAGGGCAAACTCGGATACATTTTCACCGAGGCTGATCGCATCGTTCCAATCGTCGCGCAAGAAATGTATGCGAAGCAGGCTGGGGCGACGGAGACTGCTGTTTTGAAGGATTCGAGCCATTCGCCTCATCTGGAGAGACCGGGTGAGTTGGCTGATGCTACTATTGAGGTTGTTGAGAAGATTACGGGGATTTAGGAGGAACGGCATCAGTTGCTTGAGGTTCGGGTATCGGTGTTGGGTTTTAGTTAGTTGGTACGTTGATTAGTAGGCTGCTTTGTGTAGTGCAAATCAGGAATTTGATATCGATGGTTTTCCGATACTTTTGAATTTCATCTAAGGATATTCCCAAAGTGATTGCTGTAAAGTGTGATTGCAGTATTGCAAAAGGGCCCAGCATACTTGAATGATCACATATCATGAACCCGGATATGTTTTGGGTTTCTAGATTCACAGACGTAATGCTTGATTCCTTTCATTGACTTTCTCCTAAAGACAACGAAAATGATAGTTATTGAAAGCTATTTGCACCATGAGAAAATATCTAGACAGCTAAATGTGCAACCGGAAAACTACGAAACTACTGTAAAAAAGAAAAACCACAATAGTATACAAAACATAATACATCACACAGCATCAGCAGTAACATACAATTCTTCCAGCCGCTTTTCATACAACTCCACCGTCGTCGCTCTCTGAATCGTCCCCTTTGCACTCCTCGCCATAGGGATCCCCCCATCAACAAACAAAACATGAGATCTGGTAATCCGATGATCCTCGCAATATTCACCATTCAACTCCTCAATCGTATCCCAAAGACTCTCACTCACTTCGCACAAATCTGTATCTTCGTTCTTCCCTTCAATCATAAGCGCTGGTCGCAACCTTCCATTTCCAACCATTAATACAGCACGGATATCAGGGTGTCTAGCAAGTCCCTCTTCCATGATCACCGGACTTATGTTAGCACCTGTTGAGAGCACAATGGTATCGTCGACTCGTCCGCACCATTCCCATTGATTGGTTGAGTGCGGATGTCGTCTGAACAGATCTCGGGTTCGAAACTCGTGGATTTTGGGGAAGAGTTTGAAGATGGGTTGTTCGTTATCAGAGTTAGAGTGGTTTCGTCGAATGCACGCTTCATACATATCTCCCTCGTTATCATGCGAGTGGAATTGAAATTCAATACCTGTTTCTGGATGCGGGGTGATGCAATTCCAGTTTTCGGGTGTCCAGGATCCGGACGGGCGAGTACAGGGTAGGCTTCCCATTTCAGTGGATGCATATTTTGTGAAGAATTTGATGCGCGAGCTGAGTACTTGACCGGCTGGTTTGGGGATTGCGCCGCCGCCTGATATGATGGTTGTGACATGTTGGCTGACAAAATCGAGATATTGGGGATTGCTAGCGATTTGCGGTATGAAATGAGGTGGGATAAACGCGACGTCGACCTGAGTGGCCTGGATACCTCCGAGGAAACTCTCAATCGTCGGCGGCAGGTTTGCCGGCGGGAAAACAATCGTCGTCTGGCTCGTGAGTGCACAGAAGAAATTGGGGAAAATGTTCGCCCCGTGAAAAGCGGGCATCATGACGAATAATCTCCCTTGTCGGAACAATATATCGTTGCTGACTGTTCCAGTGGGTGCTTCTAATCGCAACGCGCGTGTATATACAGTTGCCCAGTCGTTTGTGTATGTAATTGGTTTGGGTACATTGGTCGTTCCGGAAGTATGGAGAATGAGAATGGGATCATGTTTTGCCTTCTCAAATGTTCGGTTATACGCATAATGCGGAAATGTTTCTTCAAGAAGTACTTCAACACTGGGGATCTGGAAAACTGGCATGGGTTTTGCTTCTTGGATGGCGCTCACGAGTGGAGAGTTGAGGTTGGCGCCGAGTGTGTATTTGCAATCGACCGCTTCTAGAAGCGATTTCAATGCTGAGACTTGATTGCGAGGTGAAGCTAAAAGTAGCTTGTATCCTGTCTTCACACAAGCTAGAATCATGGCGTTTTGACGGAAATCGTTGGGACCGGTATAGATCAGCGTGTCGAAGAGTTTGCTTTTCCCAATCTGCGCTGTTAACCACCATGCCAATCCGTTGACTGCGTTGGCAAGTCGCTCGTAGTTCACGGTGCGGAAACCCTCATCGTAGCTAGTAGAAGATACTGGGAATTCGGCATAAATGGCTTGAGGTTTGACTTTTGCTGCAATATCGACGGCATTGACGATGAGTTGATCTTCCTCGAGGGGTGGGGTTGGATTTCTGAGATATTCTTCGGTTTGGCTGCTCCCCATTGTGTTGTTGAATGAATGAGTAGTACGATGAATTTGTGAAGTTTTGCAAGTTGAGAAAAAGTTCAGTCGATTCTGAGGTTATCATCACTTACTCTCAAGACAATGATGTTAAGTTCATCTTCGGCATCCGCATTTACAATTCTCCCCTGAGTATGATCGCTTATGATCCGGATATCAAGGGGTACTTTCATGTTGGCATTCCCCAGGTCACACCAGTAGTATGCAAGGGGGTGGCTTTGTATTGGCATTTCAATACTATCATAATATCCTGGAGTTTGCCAATTGCTCAATTTTAGGCATCAGCGCCGAGCCCGTCTTCAAGTTGCACAAATTTATCACGACATAATCAACGGCATGGAGCCTTGGCTGCGATATTATCGACAAGGGAGCCGTTGCATTAATGAAGATGCCTTGATATGGGAAGTCCGTAACAAGATACTGTAGTGATTGACTACGCTCGAGGGGTGTGTACCTATATGTGTGTTACTTCAACCGAAAAAGTACTGTAAGCCCTACCGGGGAATATTTTCAGAAGTGAGACATCGAAATGTGCACGTAACTTTAATTGAGGGGTTGGAGCAACCACGTTTATTGTGGCTGTTTGGCTGAACGAGTAATAGTCATGCATGTCAGACGGGAGCGACCCTGTCTGAGCCTATCAAAAGTCTACAAGGTCCCAAGACATGCCATATGTTTATCAGTCTTATCTTCGGCAGTGTGCAGCAAAGCCTCAGCTGCTTTCGTCATAGATGTTTCTGTAGGGGCTATGAGTCATTTGATCTGGCTACGCCGCGGGAAAGGTGCGTATATTTAGTGTCAGCAATGCTAATAGTTGGGTAAGGTTAAATATAAAGTTGTGCCAAAGAAGGATACAAATTTATGAATAACTGTTAGAAAGAATTATAATGATCGCAAAATAGCTATACTACCCCATTAGGCGGTTATCCGGAGTCAGAGAGTAGGATGTATATTTAAGCCTTCCGAACCGCCCAACAGTCCAATAGATCCAAAACGCAAAAGAATAAGTGATGATTTTTTCGATTCGGGGACGAGAACAATGACATCTGCACGTCATTTGTAAGCTTCATCTGCTCTCTCTGGGCCAAGACAATAAAATCAGCCCGCAAAAGTACACTCTCACCGCAGATAAGATGAGATGAGAATTCGTCCGATCCTTGCACGTGTGCCAATGCGGCAATGTCAAAAGTTGCAATCGCTTTCAATAGGCAGACTATTTGACGACTAGGCTGGTGCTGCTTTCAAGCTAAGCCGCATGCTAGGCTCTCACTGTGATAGCTATACGTTTATGTTCGACTGCCATTTGAGTCTTCGATCTGTGCAACCAAGGTTTCCTCTCTGTACCTCAAATTTGCTGTTTCTAGATTGGCCGTTTGATATGTTACCTGAATACTCCTGACTGATTGAAATTTGAGCATCCATCGAATATCCCATAACTCGAATGAATAAATAATTGCAATCGCGAGTGACACTCTTTGCACATTCAATCATCATGGATACAATTGATCATTCCAAGGAAGTGAGGGTGGAACTAGCTTCACTTACAACCAAACCATCTTCAAAGTCTTTGCAAGATGAAATGAGCCTACAGGATAATTCAGAGCAAGTTGTGCACCGAGAATACTTAACTGGTTGGAGACTTCATGTACTCACTCTCTGGTAATTTCCCATCATAGAGGTCGACGTTTTGGACTGCGTCGGCATGCTAACGTGATGATAGTATTTGTCTTTCAATTTTCTTGCCAAATATTGAGGTTTCTATCGTCAGTACGGCTTTGGTGAATATCACCAATGATCTTCATGGCTTTAGTCAAACGGGCTGGGTTATTGTGAATTACTTGGTCACATATACTGGTAAGCAAGCGATAGAATACATGTTTTGACAGTCTAAATCACATTCCTGGAGACACATGTTGACAGTACAAGCATTTATCATTATTTGGGCCAAAATCAGCGATATTATAGGCAGAAAGAAGACTCTAGCTACCTCGCTTGTCATATTTACGGCATTTTCAGGAGGATGTGGGGCCTCGCAGACAATTACACAACTGTGAGCAGAGATCCCAATGCTTCATCTTCTGACTTATCTAATGTCGTATGCAGGATAATCTGCCGAGCTCTTCAAGGCGTTGGAGCTGCTGGTTGCTTCTCTATTGCCACAATTGTCATTTTTGAGATGGCTCCAAAGGAGAAATATCCCATATATGGAGTGATTTTGTCCCAATATCTGAACTCTTGTTTGATCTCTGTTTCTAATTGAGAAATTGCAGACTATTATATCGGCAGATGTGGCATTAGCGACTGCACTTGGGCCAATTCTTGGAGGACTCATCACAGGAAAGACGACCTGGAGATGGGTGTTTATCTTGAAGTATGCTCTCGTAACAAACATTTTATCCCCTCACAGTATCTACTATCAAGCTAATATCGAGAAGCGTCCCTGCAGGAATAGTCACAATGATCTTGCTTTTCTTATCAATGCCTTCCGGTTTTCCACATCAAGGAAATTCTGCCAAGGGTCAACCGGGTCTATATCCGAAACTATCAATGGCATCTTTCCTCCGAATCGACTTTCCTGGAACTCTGCTCTTACTTGGGGCATCATTCCTCTTTGTGACCTCTCTTCTAGAAACATCTACGAGATTTTCATGGGGGTCACCTACTACAATTTCACTCCTTGTGCTATCAGGAGTATTTCTCATCGCCTTCTTATTTTGGGAGCGTCACATTACCATTAGCTCTTCGCAACAAGAGCCTATTTTCCCCTGGCGTTTCGTCCATAATAGAGCATGGATGGGTATGCTCTTTGCATCCCTTCTATTAGGCGTTCCATTCACCGTGCTCGTGGTCAACATTCCACAAAAGTTCCAGACTGTCAAAGGCCTATCCCCACTGCAAGCAGGAATTCGATTACTTCCCTATGCACTTGTCGCACCCATTGGTTCGTTCATGGCAAATGGCATCATGTCGAAAACGAAGAAATACCCGCCTGTTTTTCTGGTTCTTGTGGGTGCCATTCTGCAAGTTCTTGGGTTGGCTTTATACTGTGGATTGGACACTGGTATAGATGTTAGGAAGAGTCAATATGGGTTTCAGGCAATTGCTGGATTTGGACTGGGGATATCTTTTGGTACTTTAGTCCTAATGACTCCTTTTAGCGTTGATCCACAGGATCTTGGTATGTGCTCCCTTCATTTAATTTCACAATAACGTAATGAATCTAAAATATCACATAGCAACTGGCACAGGCGCAATGGTGCAATTCCGTCAGCTGGGAAGCGCAATCGGACTCTCAGTAGCCGAGAGTCTGATGAATTCTCAACTAACATCCAAACTTTCCTCGGTTCTGGCCGCAGAACAACTTGCTGCACTGTTAGAAACTACGACGGTGGTGAATCGATTTCCTCCAGAGTTGAAGACTCGTGTGATCGGTATATTTGCTGGGGCGTATGGGCTACAAATTAAAGTCGTTACTGCTTTTGCTGCTGTGGAGGTGCTTGTTGTAATGCTAATTCTGAAACGGAAGCAAATAAGGGTTGGATGAGGAAGAACACGAGATAGTGTTGGTGATATTTTGATGTGCACGATTCTCGAGGAACAAGAACATTCTTATTACGCACCATTGTTTTAGAGACAACCTGAATATTGTCAAAATATAGTTCATGGAACGATGATATCAATGTGATATTACTACTCGATAAAGCTAGATACTCGTCTTGTCAACTCAGATTTCAACAGTCAATACAGAAGGAAAAATCCAGACAACGGGCTTTTATCTACTTAAGCACATTCCCTAAGATCGTTTCCATCCTCGCCACAGCCTCCTCGATCACCTCAAGCGGCAATGAGAAAGTCACTCTCGCCCACCCCACTTCCCCGGGAATTCCATTGTAGAACTTTCCCGGACTAACCAAAACCCCATGCTTAGCTAGCCGAGAAAACACTTCATCAGCCTCTTTCTGCGTTGTTGCACGTCGAGCTAATTTCGCAAAAATGAAAATTCCTTCTGTCGCAGGCAAATATTCTATTCCCCACTTGCTAAAGCTGTCTGCAAGGAGTTTGTATGATGCAGTGAGTCGTTCCGAGTTCGTTTTTAGTAATAGAGGAAGATCTGGATATGAAAGAATGGATTTTAGATAGAGGGAACTGAGTGTTGAGACGCTTGCATATGATAATAGAGAAATAGCGGTTCGGAGTGGGATGTTGGCTTGAGATATTAGGCAACCCTGTAAGAATAGTTAGCTCGTATCTAGAAAAAAGAGACGATCAAAGATCAAACATACAGTTCTAATTCCACTTAATCCAAACAGTTTACTTCCGCTCCACACGACATGAACCTTATCTGGATCAATTAATCCTTTGTAATTCAACGAAAGAATTGAGATGAATGGCGTTACATTCATTGTTGAGATTGAATCGCTTTTGATCGCCGCCAGTGCATATAGTTCATCCGAGATCAAATGCAAGTTCCTTTCCTGACAAAACTTCATACAAGCTTCGATCGATTCCTTCGAGTAACATCGTGAAAATGGATTATGTGAGTTACAAAGAATGACAGCTTTGATACGGGAGGAATCTGGAGCTGTATCGTATGAGCTAATGAGAGAGGGGAGAAGATCGTTTGAGTGAGAGTCGAGGGTATAGGAGGTGAGCGAGGCGACGATAGTGTAGACATTAGGCCGGGTGCGGAGGTATGGCTCCATACCAACTGGAACAATGAGTGTCAATTTATTTCCTAATTAGATTCATAAGGACGCGAATGTAATTAGCTTACACCAGTATGGTCCGGGTATAATAACACTATCACCATCTTCACAAATAGCATGAGCAAGAGCTTCAAGACCACCACCGACTCCAGCCGTCAAGATAACATGCTCCTTCTTCACCTGACAAACGGGATCGAAATATGTGTTGAAGAATCCCGCGAGTCCTTCTCGAAGCTCGCTATCTCCTCCAAATTCTAGAGGTTGTGATAAAACCTAATGGCGAATTAGATGATGAAGAATGAAGTTCGGGATGCAGACTCACACTGGGTACCAGTTTTTCCTTCACCACATCCTTACAAATCTCAATCAGCTCCTCACGAATTACATAGTTCTCCGCAATAGAAAGATTGATCGGCGTGACATTCTCGTTATCAAGCTCATGTGACGTGGCGGCCAACTTCGGAAGGATGTATTGCATCGATTTTATCATTCGAGAAGACAAATTATTCGCCATGGTGAAGATTAGGGTACTATACGAAGTAGCGTTATAAGCGGTCATATAAAACATTCGACAAATAACAAATACAACATCACCGGGAACCTTTGTACTAGCCGAGATCTTGGGCTGCTCACCGAGCACCCAAAAGGGGTAAGATTTCTGCACCATATGTCATCATCACTCTTCTTGGTTGAAATGGAAAATTTTCAGGTACATGTATCCCAAAATAACCCTTGAGGAATTTAGACTCGGCGTAAGCGGAATACCGTATTTTCACAATAATTGCAAAGTATTTCATTTTTGCCTTCACCGGGGGATACTTTCCGGGATTCTAATCCTCCTTATGTTACCCTTTTCTGCAGGTCATTCTATGCCCATGATTAAGTTTAGCATTTACCCGGTGCAGTGCTCTTACTCCTACTGTAAATTAATGCATACTGCATGTAAGATCACTAGTAGCCTGTTGAAATACCATGTTGCCATGCCCATGCCATAATGCTCTGACGCAGCCCCCACCCACCATCCATCGTCGTACAAGCAGGATATAACTGAGAGAATTTAGGCGACTTACATAAGATATGAAAAGAACGACCCTGAAATTACGAGCCTTATTCGATTCCCAGAATTTTTCTTCGAATTTTGTCTCTTCAGAACGTTTTGTTTAAAAATCCAAATCTCGTTTTGTTTAGCTAATCTGACTAGTCAAAATGAATGAAGTTCCTCATGTCTTCATGGAAGTTCTATGGCTTCATGTTACCATGGGCTTGGCGGCCGCAGTCGCTGTTGGCCTGAGATTCTATGCGCGAAAATTGACTAAAGCAAAATTGCAGTGGGATGATTGGATTATCGTTGCTGCGGTTCTGTTTGTTTGGGGTGATGCTATTTGTACAATTATAGGTATTTATTTATTATCCAGTCTGTACAGTACAATATCAGACGAGAGGTTGATATAACATGAAGCTGATGTGTTGATTTGAATAGAATACCGACCATATATCAGAAGAGTACCCAAGGCACAACTGCCTATCAAAGATCAGACGGAATTGATGGTGGTGTGTATATTTCATATCCAATCTCCTTTCATCATGGTCAACTAAGCAAAATAGTTGCTAACCATCTCAAGGTATCATTCATATCAATCGTCTTCACCGTCTTCGCGGAAGTCGTCACACGATTTAGCGTAATATATCTCTACTACCGACTCTTTTCCGTCAAGCGATGGCTTCATTATAGTCTCATCGCCGATGGAGTAATTTCCATCATCTGGCTCTTTGCCGTCATATTCGCGTCTGCATTGGAATGTAAACCCATCAAGGCGAATTTCGATGCATCGATCAAGGGAAAATGTTTAAATACTCAGGTGATTGCTTCCATTTTCCGAAACTGTTACGAACTTGCGACTAACATGGAAGCACTCAGTCTGGTTTCTTCATTTCCGAACTGCTCAATATGCTTCTTGATCTTGCTTTGATCGCGATGCCCATTCCGATTATTTTGAAACTCAAGTTACCATTGCGAGAAAGAGTCGCTATTGCGGGTATATTTATGACTGGTGGATTGCAAGTCCTTTCTCGGCTCTTAGTTATTCAATCAACTAACTGGAAATCCAGTACCATCGTTACTAGCGTCCTCCGATTAGTCAAAGGATACAACCCCGACGGAGACACCTGTAAGCTTCCTCCCATAAACCCCCATCAACCCCCCACCAACACTAACCTCCCTTCCCCAGCAATAACCGGACTCTCCCACCTCTCCATCTGGACCGGCCTCCACCTCGGCTTCGCCATAATCTGCGCCTGCCTCCCCGTCTTCCGCGTCTACATTCCCCGCAACGGTCTCTTCAGCTCCAAAATGCGTCTAGTATATACTGCTGTCAGCGGATGGGTCGGACGCAGCAGCTCGCATAATAAATCGACAGCGTCTCTCCCGAAATATATGCGGAAACCTAGTGATTCTTCGGATAATAATAAGGATTCGCAGGAATTTAGATATGCGCATGCGACGCCACAAGTAGCGAGGAAACGTCCGGTGGTAGATGAGATTTTGTTGACGACGGTGTGTAGTGTGGAGGATCGGGGGGTGGGGGGGAGCGCTGTATAGGGTTGGTTGATGGGTGGTGTGTTTGGGGTTTTGTGTATTAGTAGTTAGACGTGAGTTGTACATTTGAGTCATCGGTTAATATAGCTGTTTTAATGCACTTCTTCTCTGATATAATGAGAAATAGTATAGTAGATATGTCGACAAAGAAATAATTGACATTCATTCATACTGACGAGGTATCCGTACTCCACAAGTGTATATCTTTTGACACGACATCATGCTATCGTGTATCAATTACCACAGAAAAAAATATTGAATATAAACAATTGCAATAAAAAATGAAGTGATGTTTGAACCTTTTAGCAATTGCTCAATAGCTTCCAAGTAGTGATTGCTACTTGTGATCTCTATACGAACATGATCCCAAGCAGCCGAATTTTGAGGATTTTGTGAGCGGAACTGAGGGACAGCTTGAAGTGAAGCCCCGTCGATAATATGCTAGCGAGTTGAATTGACGAATAGGTGGTTGAAGTAAACGAAGCAACTCATGAACATCATCTTCACCACTAACCCAATCCCCAAACCTCATCCACTCCCTCAGTCCCTCGCTGTCTCACTCCCCTCTCTCACTTCCCCTGCACCTATTTCTCCCCGTCTCCACCCCCATCTCCATCTCCATCTCCAACTCTCGACCCGCTACTTCCATCCCCATCCACCCCAATCTTCCCCCCCAAAACATCATGCTCCCTATCCCAAACCTCCAACTCCTCCCTCGGAACCTTGATTAGACGATGAGCCTTTGCACTTTCATCATCCATAACCAATAATTCCTGACGAATTTGATAGTTGCCGAAATAGGGCAGGATATAGATCCAGAAGGCGTAGTAGAGGATACAGATACCCATGCTGTTTTTTTTTTGCGTGAGTTTGTGTTTTGGGAGGTTTGGGATATAGGAAAGGAAAGAGGGAGGGAGAAAAAAGAAGAAAAACTTACATGCCCACCCCCACCGCTGCATAAGTGCCATACCAAAAACTGACATCTCCACTATTTGCGCCCCCAGGCGGCGGATACCACGGCATAATCAACAAGAAAACATTAACCACCAACGAGAAGTATATCGCTACACCCCACGTTTTAAAATCCCCATCCACGATTCCCAATTTCCGTCTATTCCTCCTAATAATGAGCAGTCCCACCGTCAACGCAAACAAAAACAAATTACTCGGATAACTATACAAATCAACAATAAAATTAAACGCATCACCGGCAGGCGGCGCCAGAATCATGAGGATCGTGAGTGCCCATTTGAGCGTATAGGCCGCGAGCGGTGTACCGAAGGGACGGGTCGAAGCCCACATGCGGGGATAGGGGAGCACGCCTTGACGACCGCATTCGCGGATTATACGCGAGGAGCCGATTATTACCGAGACGATGTTTCCGAATGCGGAGAGGGCGATGAGGAAGTTAAGGGCGTGCACGGATTTTCCGGCGCCGAAGACGCTGGTGAAGAAGAGGGAGGCGGCGAGTTGGGTGGAGGATTTGAGGGTTTCTTTGGGGACTGGGTGGGGAGTGTGTTAGAATTTGGGAGGGAGGGGGTGAAAAGGGTAGTGAAGGGAGTGACAAACTGGCTGCGAAATAGGCGATGTTGCAGAGGAGATAGAGGATCGCTACTATGAGGAGTGAGGCGGGTCCTGTTCTTTTGATGGTTTTGATGGGATTCTAGGGGGGTGAGCTTCGTTTTAGAGGATATTGGGGAATATGGGGACGTACTTTGATTTCGGCAACGACGTTGAATGCATTTGTGTATCCGGCGTAGGCAAAGTTAATTTTGACAAGTGCATTTGCAAGTCCATAGCCACTGTTGGTTGTGCCGGAAAATGCATTCCTGAAATTGGCTGTTGGGTTGGCAACTTTGGTATGGCCACCTAGTACCACGAGACCTGCGATTGAAATACTGTGAGAGATAATTAGCACATATTTTTTGAGAGAGAAAGAATATGGAAATTGACTTACAATATGAGCGTTATGAGTTTGATCACTCCGACTATGTTTGATATCCGAAGAGAATGCTTCGTGCTAAATACAACCACTATTATGGCTTGTTAGCCAGATGAAATCCCCCATAGGCCAAGAAATACTAACATAGAATGATAAAGGTCATGCAAGCACAAGCTAGACCTTTATTCTCCCAAGCAGACGGAGTGTAACCCGCCATAGCAAACAGATATTCTCCCATAACTATTTATCCCATCAGCATCCCATAAATAATCCCAACAATCACAATCACTCACCAATAGCATTACTACTACTAAAAGAAAGCAAAACCGATTGCACCGCAAAAGTAGTAGCGAGAAGATATTTTGGCCTCGGATATGCTTGTTCCAAATACACGACCTCGGCTCCCGAACGATTGGGAAAGAAACTCGCAAGTTCGGTGTAGATAGAAAATTGACAGCCGGCGATGAGAAATCCCAGTGTCCAGTAAACCAACGCTAGACCAATCGAACCTACTCCCGACAGAATACTCGCAGCTGGAAGTCATTAGCATGAGTATCTAGTGATGCATGACAGATACAACATACGAGTTGAAAATACACCTGTGCCGATCATTTGACCTATAGACGATGAATTAGCGACATAATATTCATGATTTTGAATCAGGTAAATCATACCAATATTCAAAAAAATCGTAGTAAACCACGTAACATGCAACCCAAGCGGCGATTCATTCTCGACCGGTGCACCCGAAGCTTCTTGATACGAAGGCTTCGAACCATTATTTCCATATTCCTGCACAAATTCCAGGGCTCCTAGTTCCTTGACATCCGCTTCACCAGTAATATGGCGATTTACCACAATATCCGAATCTTTGCTCTCTGACATCTTGAGTATATCCAAGCAATTTTAAACCATCAATCCTCATGGAGAACCTCGTCATAAGTACCCAAACCCAGCATCTTGCCCGTCGCACGAGAATAGCATATCTCAGCTCGCACATCTGGCGGAATATTGCACCACAAGCCATCATGATATGCGACGTCTGAATTGACCAATCATGGAGCTGTGTATAAAACCCATGCCCTACTATTTGATCCCGCATTACAGGGATCGTAAGGAACAATAGCGGTTGTGTCGAAGTGCTAGCGTTGGTGTGATGGGTGTGGATCTAATTCTGCAAGCTCGTCATCGGTTACATGCATTTCGTTATCAACTCAACGACGATAATGCATATCATCACTAAATGATCCCACGATTCTGTGAATTTATGATTTGAAAAGCAGGGGTAATGTTTTAGTTTTGATCTTTTCCTTATCCATATTAGATTCATTAGTGTCTTCCGAAGAATTGAAATCCAGCCACACCCCTTGCAATTAGCATTTATCAGGGTCCAGTGGTCTCTTCCCCTCAACCAACTTCTGGACCCGTTTTCTTATCTTCCCCTCTTCGGAATCTATAGTATGACTGGCTTTGACTTTTGCGGAGACCCCGACGGCCAGACTTTGACCATCTTTCGATATCTTGTATTATCGTTGCCAGCAAGTAGACCTGATACCTGGTTAAACATCACGTCTTTTCTGCCATCATTAGCAAATCTCATCAAAACCTAATATCAGCGAATAGTCAGTAAACTACAAGAATAGGAGTAAACCTAATGTACACACAACATACAGACATCAAAATTTGATCTTGTATTTGTTTCAAAAACATCCATAAAACCCATTTAATTTCTTTCTACATCTCCCCAATACCACTATCATCACACCGCAAACCCCAGCATTCTACCAAGTAGCCCCACTATGTCCCACCCTAGGCGTCTGCAAATCCGGTTGACGACACATAACATAACTCCTATGTAACCCAAAGCCTCGAAATCTAAACTTGTCCCATTCATTCAGATCGATATCCCGATAATCGACATCCTCGAAATCAAATCTGAGATACAGATTATGCGAGCCAGGGGTTGAGAAAAGCCAAGTGGACAAGCCAGCTTTATCTGCCATGCTCAGACAGTGTCGTAGCAATTAGGTTCCCACTCCTTGGCTCCAATATTTTGGCGCGACGGCGAAGTGATTGGCATCTATTGTGTGTTAGAGGTTATTTGGATCAGGTGCAAAGTGAAAAGTTGAGAGGACTTACAGTAGTGTGTATGTCCTTTCATGAGATTATTCCTCAAGACCTCGACTTCTAGTTTCTCGGCGTAGAACTTGATGAAATCCATATCGAGGTAATTGGGTCGCTGGGAAGCCGTAGCATTAAGGTCTGGCAAATTCTCTCCGGAAATAGACTTTTCGTTATCTGCATACTCGATGGTCCAACAGATAAAACCTATGATTTCGTCTGTGGCCGCATTGGTTGCTTTCATGACTTGGGCATTGGAATCATTAAGTTGATCCTAGATTCTGGAGACATAGAAGTTCTGCATATCGGTTTCATCGGGCCAATTGGTAAATGCAAACATGGCGAGTGGATCTAGGGTGTATGCGAGTCTGTGAACTTCTGCAAGGGCCGTTAGGTCTTCCATGGTGGCTTGAGCAATGGACATCCATGTTGACCTTGACCACAACGTATGTTTATATCTGGATTTGGAGATAGGCTTGTTAAATGTCTTGCTCTCAGTGCGACTGAAAGATTGAACATCATCAGAAGTTAAGTAATTGTATTAGACGGGCACTGTAGACGGGGTACCCCACTAAAGTCTATCTGTGCCGCCAACATGCTTCAACACCTGAACACGACAGCTCATCATAAGCGAATCCTACCACCATATCGGTATTGAATATCATTCGTTTCCAGGATGGCTGATAAGTCGTCTTACCTACCCGAGTGACTGGTACCAGTCATAATGAGAGAAAATGAGGATTCTCACACCACATAATCGCTCCCACGTAAAGAAGCGCCCACTAGCTCAAATATGAGACAGAATTCAGGAAACTATTCCCATTCGCATTCTCATTCCCGATTCCCAATGCCGCATGTCCGAAAAATAATGGACAGCTTCTACTCGTATTGAGAACCATGAAATACAAAGCAGTTTGAATGGACATACAACCCAACTATCAGTATACGCGGGCCGAGAACATATCCGACCGACCTAGCCTAATACTGGCCCGATGTTTCATCATTTGCTCATTGCTTACCTACCTTCCTTTCCTTCCAAAGAATCTCCTCTCAAAAAATAGTTCCAAAGAGCTAGCATCCAAAACATAAAAAAGCAAAAGGATAATCCAACATACAACAGTGGGGATTCGCTGGTGGTCACCCACCCAACTACTAATCCACCGATCTGAAGCTTGTGTATGGCAGAGCGGACGGGATGCCCAATTCTCTTCAGTCTATGGTCGTATGTGGAAGAGTGGGTGGTAGATAAAGATATATTGGCAATCTGATAGCATACAGTGACTGACGTCCAAGATAGAATTTTGATATAATTTCGAAGGCCAAGCCAAGGACACAACTATTGAGGCTCGCCGATGAGACACTCATACGACCTTGATAAATCAATTAGTGAAGTTGTGTCTTGGAAACAGTTCATTTGCGCCATTATTTAAAAACCTCAAAGGATATCATCCCGTGCAAAAAAGCACCTACTTAACCTGTGCACCTGCCGTCTAAATCTAGACTCTTTCCATTTATTACCAAATCATGCCTTCTTCCATTTCTCTCCAGTCATGGTTGGACCCACGAGTTCAATCAAGAATGATTTTGCTTTACCAATCTTCACCAACAAGCTTGGTATTCTCCATCCGAAGACTTGTCCTACCCCACCTCCACTTCCAATGGGGACAAAAATTGTCTCCTTCATTGGCTTGAATTCCTGTTGTACTGGATATCCACTTCCCGAACCACCAAAGATTATATTCCATGCTGAGTTTAGGTATCCTGGGGCTGGCTCTTCAGGCTTCTTGATACCAAGATCTCCTGCGATATCCACTGCTAATGAAGAACACAACGTTGTAACCATTGGGTCGAGTTCCAAGGCAGAATTAGTGCTACCAGCTACTATATCACCCAACACATATACACCCTTCACATTATCCGAACCATTTCCCTTGACACGAAAGTATGCGTCGTGCGTAATTACTCGACCTGTTTCATCAAGCCATGATTTAGAAAGAAATTCGCTGTTAGGAGTGCCTCCGGTAGCATCGATATATATGTCGACTTCGCGGGAGCTACCGTCACTGAGCTTAAGCGTAGTGGGTGAGGTTGCAGGATGTGCGGGGTTGGTGCTTTCGACGCGCACATTGTTTATAACTTTGACGTGCATTATATTTTCGAGGTAATCCTGGGCTCGTACACTCGTTGCTTGCTTGACTTTAGAAAGAACTCTACTCGCACCAGAGAGTAGTGTCACTTGGCAGTGTGGGTAGTTCGAGGCTATTTCACCTGCCGTTTCAACTCCAACTGCCCCTCCTCCAGCAATGAGAACGCTCTTCCCAGTCGGAAGTGCCGCGTGCAGCGATTCGAGGGCTTTAATAGTAATTGATTGGTCGCCATGTAGAGACCATAACGGAGACTTCGAGGTTGTGCCAGTGGAAATGATAAGAGAATCGTAATGAAATTGTCGTGTGGTTCCTGTATCGCCAATTGTAACAGTAACAGTTCGTTGCGCAGGGTTCAAAGCTGAAGCAACACCTTGGATCAATTCAAATTGCGAAGAATCATAGCTTGAGAAAGCTTCCGATAAAGGTCGGAATACCTTCTCTTGAGGAATCAAGGTAGAGTTAATGAGAGCTCTGGGACTTGCGATCTTGAAAAAGAATGATGTATTTGGTGTGATGAGTGTGACATGATAAGACTTCGATTGGTCGAGGCGCTGGACCTGAGGTAAGGTCTGACGAAGCAAATTATGAACAGCATTGACTCCTCCAAAATTTCCACCCAAGATGACCACTTCATGTAAATTGGAGTTGGACGACATTTTGAAGGTATTCGGAAGTGAATTGAAGATGTAATGTGGGATGATGAGTTCAAGTCCTGCAGATCTTGTTAGGATGATAGCTACTGTAAAACTATAAAAATCCGGGGTCTGTGGGTCAATATATCGATACACAGAGGAAATCTTATAGGAACATTATTCGAGGAAATGATAGGACAGTTACAAATTCAACCTCGTTTGATCATTGTGCAGTAACCTTAAGGAAGCGTTGCCGCAATGTTCATCCAATCAAAAGCCTTTCCGCAAAGAATCATGATCTAAAATGTTAAAGGCGTTTCAGCTACTATAAATGTCTCAGCAAAAGCCTATTAGAAAAGCGTCTAATAGGCGGCTCTCCAGGGAACGGAACGGCCGCTTAGTTCCGATTGTTCCCTGCAAGCGATTGTTCCCCCCTTCGAATAGTGTATATTCGAATGTAGAGCACATATGCTACGGTTCAAAGATACCAGTCGAAAACATGAGATCATCTTGGAATCGGAGGTACTAGTGGTGGTTGTCGATGGTGTCCATGGCATTGAGAGGGAGATGTATCAATATGAATTTGGTATGATGGCATATATGTTTTAGTGGGTAGCTTGTATTTTCTTATCTCTTGATCTGTCGAAAAGCCTCAAAATATATAATATGTCGACTAATCATAACCATGAAATTACCATAATTTCTGACCTATTTATCTAGCACTTAAGCACCCGACATAGGCTTTAAGCAAAGCAAATGAAGCCCTCAAAAGAACAACACACTCATGCCATCGCCAAATAGGAGATCTCATCTACAAGACTAATCGCGCTACAAACGCATAAATATCACGTGAACTGCCACGTCGTTTTACTACTCGTGACTTCCATGCACCCCATTTTTACATTTTGTCCATCTTCACATTCAACATTTGAACATTATCACCAAATCATTAGTTTTCCTCCTACATTCATAGCAAATCTTACTTTCATAATGACCTCAGAAATAGGTCTTTTCTCAAACGACTTGATCTCAGAAGAATGTCAAAACACACTACCAGAAAGTTATAAATTCCGCTCTCTTCAACGCTCAGACTTCCATCATGGTTATCTCGGTGTATTGCGAGATCTTGCATATGTTGGACCCATTACCGAAGAGCAATGGGATGAGCGATTTGATGCCATGAAGAAGTGTGAGAACACTTATTTTGTGTTGGTGATTGTGAAGGAGGGGGGTGATGAAGAGGTCATTATGGGTACTGGTACACTTGTCGTGGAGATGAAATTGTGAGTACAATTTATATCTCATACTCAATCTGGGAAACTCCATTGGAAGCTCTAATCATGTTCGATGTTGAAGCCTCGGGAACCTGGGGTTACAGGGACATGTAGAGGATATATGCATCTCGGCAGATCACCAAGGACAGCAGTTTGGAACGAAACTTATCAAGGCGTTGGATCATATTGCAGCGGAAAAAGGCTGTTACAAGGTGCGTCTTTTTGGTTTCCCTACCAGTCCTCAGAATACAGTAGTCGCTGATTTCTTTTCAGAGTATACTTGATTGTGGTGAAGCAAAAAGAGCCTTTTACGAAAAATGCGGTTACGAAGGGAGAGGTTACGAAATGCATCATTATCACGATCTCGAATCGGAAGCTGCATTGAATGGAGTTTGATTTCAGTTAATTGTACAGGGATTCAAATGGGACTTAATTTTACAGTTTGTGGTGGCAGCAAGGTCCGAGATAGATCGCTGTAGAGAATGCTATCGAGAAGCTACTTTTCTACATCCCGCGCCGCTCAATGACTTTTCGTTTGGATCATGTTCACTATTCGTGCCATTTCAGACGATTGGATCAAGACGGAAATGAACATATCTTTCTTCGTCATGATGAGACGAGATTATCTCAAAGTCCTACCTAGTACTCGAGTATTTACCGAACACTAGATTGTATTTATTGACGAATCATTACTCTATACCAAAGAAAATTCAACTCCCAGATCACACTCCCACGGTCTTACTGAAAAAAGCACATAGATGCATTATCCTGAACTTTCCATACTCGCAAACAGTACTCGAGTATAAGTCAACTACCCTACTTTCGGGCCACCCTTTCACACCAAAAACAGTGATTTTTGATTTTTATAACTTTTTATTCATTTGATATAATTGAATGAAATTTTAATTATAGATTCTTTATATAGTTATTAGATCAGGTACAGATTTTCAGAATTTTAGTGATTTTATATAAAAAGTTATAAAGTGTGACGGAACAGACGGCTCTCTTCCGCCCACTGGCTCATACTACATACATAGTATGATATGACGGCTCTTTTGGACCTTCCTTTCACAGCTTAGAGCCCTAGCTCTATAGCTCTAGACCTAGGCATCGTACGATGCTTATCT